TCGTTTCAGCATTGTGAACTGGCCCGAGTGCCGAGGTTCCTCGTCAGTCGTGGAATAAGCTGGCACAAACGGCCGCCAACACCGCGACTTTACAAACGACTCACCGGCGCCTGCCCGCAACCCGAGCGACAATGACCAAGCTAAGCAGCCGTGACTGGCACATACACCGGCTCCACAACACTGCGAGTGACAGTGGGTAAATGCAGGCCATAAACGGCGGCAGAATGACCGCAAACCACCCGACACACCCAGACGGCGCACCAGGAAAACGGCTACTGCGCCCGACGGCCACCGCACTGCCCTGCCGGTATAAACACTAGCCAGGATTATACCAAGTCGTGGCGCGGACCACCGTTGCCATGCCGCCGGGCGGAGCACCGCGCGACGGCACGTCCTCATCAGTCACCGCCGCTCCACTCCGGCGACAGGCGAGTAATCCGTACAGAGCCACCTGTGTGCCGCGTCGTCCGTCGGACACCGCACGAGCCGCACGTCTCTCCGTCCGTCCCAGACGTCATCGATCTCCGCGGCCGCAGAGGGTCAGACGAGCGCCGGCCGGCCGGCCGAGCAGTACCATTAGACGGTAAGGACGCTGACTATCGGTCGTGGCCACCCATCAGACGGGCGGACGTCACAGAGGCGGGGTCCACAGCGCGTGATTATAGAGTGGACCAGAGAGGCGAATAGAGCTGCGAGCGAACGCTGCCCCGTACGGTTCTCTCTTTATCAGCAGCTGGTCCGTCAGAGGCAACGCCAAATTGGCTCAGACAGATAGCCAATATCGCTGGTCCGAGAGTGGCTATTGAGCGCAAGCCGCGTCCCGCTGACCAACCAGTGACCGGCCGCGGAGTGGACTGACAGCCCGCCGAGTGGAGTGTGCGGACTCCAGACGAGTGTCCGCTGCGGTCGAGTGACGTCCAAGTGCCCGCTGAGTGTCCTGTCAGCTGAGAGACCACCGCGTAGCTCGGCCCCGGCGTTCGGCCACGTCCCCCTACGCGCTGCCGTTTGCCGGCCGGAACAAACAGGGGCGGACGGCGGGTCGGGCGGCGGACCGTGGCCAAGTGGCTGTCGGACATGCCGACCCGCCCTCACCACCTGCCTCCGCGACAGGCGCCGAGGTGAATGGTTGCATATAACGCGGACAACGACACGGCACGCGGCTTCAACGAACACGGGGTGAGGGCAAGGGCGAGACATGGGCGGGGCTGGCGAGGGAGAGACAAAGGCGTGGGTGGAGCGGGGATTTAGCTGGGCGTGCCACCGGTCGCTGTCGCTCGACCGTTGACCTCCATGTCACCTCCGGGTCGCCGCCTGACCGCGGCAGGTCGGCGCTATCGACACTGGGCGCCCGCTGCGCCACGGGCGACTGTGGACGTCAGTGACGCCGCCGGCCGCTCTGTGTACAGATACTGCCGGCACAGCAACGATAGCCGCTGCCTGATCGCAGCTCGATACGCCGAGGTTTCATGTTAAAGGTTGCTGACCGGATTTAAATTATCATCTGATTGAATATGTCAAACCCCAGCAAATAAGGATAACGCTGAAGACAATCTGTATTCTGTGTCATTGACAAGTTGTCATGAGTTCCCCGCATGGACCGCGTCCATTTGCTGCTAAGGCTGTTTGTGACAGGTCATCTGCGACAGAAAACCATACACATTTGCCATTCACCTCACTCCTAAAGCGAGCTCCGGCGGTGGGGCGCCACCACGCGCCGCACATTGTCATCTCCCCGGATGTGAATACTGCAGCGACGCCGTCGACAACACGCGACAAACGGTGGCCTCAGCTCGGAGCGGTCGACCGGAGAGACAATTTTCCGCGCCGTGAATAAGTCACGAGCGCGGCCTTGGTGTCCCGAGCTGAGTCAGTTCCGTGAGCGCTGCGGGCAGCCGGGCACTCCGAACGAGCTTCGGTAGTTTGAACCTCTATTTCATGGATGACAGCTCGTAAAAGGGAACTACCAAAATATATCACAGACTAGCCTAAAAATGAGGTTTAAAACAGCATACATGAAACAAAAGAGCGGACCTCTACAAAGGCACACCATAACACTCGCAGGCGTCCAGTGCAGAACAGCTCGTCATCATTTGACTGCCGCGCCAGCATGTTCCGGCCCGCTTTCGGCGTCCTTTGTTTCGCGGAGTTGGCCCGGGGCGGTACGGACGTGTAACGGTGGCGCGTGATTGCCACCGCCGCTGCCACCACCGCTACACGCACCGGAACTGACAGCGCTCGGCTCTAGCCGGGCCGGGCAGGGCCGGGACAAGAGGCAGTGATCTCGGTGGGGCTGAGCGGCGATCGCGACAGGGCGGTTCGCGGCGCGCCGAGCCAGTTCGGACCGCCACGGACCGCCGATTCCGTACAATCGGTGCGCCGATACGGGCCGGCCCGTCGACACAGTGACCCTGACCGCTGCCGGGGAATGACGACACACACAGGGCCGCCGCTGGACCGCCCCGCAAGTCAGCGGCGGGGTCCGTACAGTCACCAACCGGTTTGACAGACAAAGGGGGTGTAGGGTGTAGTGAACGGTGGCTAGCACACATGCATGATACATGGATTCGGATGGCATTATATATAATCATGGCTGCATTTATCGTAATAGATACCTATCAATAAATTATACTTCATATCATGAAATGACATGAAAGACTCGCAGTAAACTCGTAATGAAAATGTAGGTAAAAATCAAGAGAAGCCCTATAAAAATATTGGGCTGAAAGTTCCCAATGAATGCACCATACAGCTTTCCGTTCGAAGCGGCATGCGTTGAAAATTAACATGCCCCTCCCGGCTCCCATATCTTCTCTGCACAGTTGTCTCCAGTACGGATCACCTCGCTCGCAGTCAGCCACCACCTCAAACATTCCACAACGGACCCCCTCTGACCTCCCGACCACCACGGTCGTTCACGGTCACCGGGAACCTCACGCCGGCGACCCGGGGTCACGTCCGGGTCACCGGGGTCCCGCCCAGGCCGGCCGCACGGCCCCAGTCACGGTCCGACGAGGGCTGGCTCCGGGACGGCCCGGACGAGTGACACTCCATGGACCGCAGTGTCAGCGTCAGCGCTCTCCAGGCACGAACTCGAGCGATACATTAGTCCGAGGACTAGCACTTCAGCCAGATTTCGGTCTCGAGCTTCTAGATTTTGTTCATGGGTGGTTAGCTTGACTCAAAGAGCATGCGCTTGGCATCTCTGGAATAAAGCCAAGGGGATGCCTACTGAAGGAATACCTCATTTCGAATCACCTCTCCGCTTCGGGCAATAATATGTATCAGGCATCTGCCATCTCTCAAAAACACTAAAAACTCCACCATAGTTTTGAAACACGGCCGCTTGCCGCTAAGGGATCAGCACTGACAGATACCTGCTACGATCCCACCATTCCTGACCCGGTATTACCCAGCAGCATCTAAACAATGACCACCGTAACGGTGTGTTTTCCAGCGCGCAGCTGGAGGCCGGTCACACGCTGGGACCGAGCGGCGGAGGGCGGGAGCCCGCAGCGCTCTCTCACGGGGAATACGGCCGCTATCGCGAGTGACTCGCACAACAACGATGTCCTCGACTCAGTGTGGTCTCCCTGACGGCACCAGACGGCCCACAGAGCCCAGACGGTTCCAGTTGAGAGCAGGCATCCGCATGCTCGCCCTGGCAGAGTCGGGCGTTGTCTGGTCGTAAAGTCCCAGCTGAGAGCCCCGAGAGCCAGCCGGACTTGCAGAGGTGATCGTAAGTTAGACCGGTGCGGTATCTCCCGGATTCCCAAACGGTCAGAACGAATCAGCTGAACTGGTAGAGCCGGCAATGCGAAACGACAGACTCCGGGCTGAAAAAGGCGTCCAACAGCAGCACACAAATTGCCCCGGCGTGCTGGTGGGGCGGTCTCAGTCAGACAAATGAAAAAGAGTCCCAGCCAGACCATAAATGCTCAACAGCATATAACGCAATGAGATTGCAGACATTTGCGGCTTTTCAGCGGACATCACAGCAGTCGTGCTCACAGCCAACCCGGTATTACAGCGCTTGAGGAGACAGCCACCAGTTGGACATAACTCACAGAGGCCCGGTTATTGCGGTGACTCGAGGGATTTTCCCGCACAATCCGCGAACCGTGCGCGACAACACAACAGCCATTCGTCCACGACAAACTACTAAATCCAACACAAAGTCATGCCGAGGAACAAAGTTTTCCAGATTCCCTCAGCTCCCTAACAGCGAAATAATTGGCCGGTCGCGCCTGCTAAGCGCAAGGCACTTCGCGGTTAGCTGTTTTCCGGACCATGTTTTGTGACAAAATACACGCCTGTCCAGGCAAGATTACTTTACTACTCCAGGTGCGATAGCCTCTCCCTTCTTCCTCCAAATTGAAAAGGGCTGACGAACTGGAGCAGGAGATAGTCACAAAACGGGCTCGCCAGCTGATTTATTGGGACGGGGTTGTTACATCGCAGCCTTCTAGACGGCAGTGTGTGATCGATCGAGTCTACGGCTCATCAGATTGACGGCACCGTGTTGACAGTATCGCGCACTGCAGCCGCTTCTCCGCTGCACATCAGAGCGTGAGAGATTGGCGTGGGCGTGCTGGAGACTGGGAGAGCAAGTAATGAGCTCCTCGAGCCGACGGTTCGGCCGTCGACAGTTTATACAAGCGCGCCATTATAGATTGCTGTCTAGTTCATGAAGCGCAGCAGTCTCATGGGACGAAGTTCGGAAAAGACTTGGAAAAGGTTGTGAATTGTGTGGCAAACGACTGCGAGCCGGCGGGCTCAACGTTCCATCACACACAGGGTCAAATAACGACTCGTTTCAGGTCAGCCAGGTCAGAGTCAGCCGCCAGGTCATTGTCAGGTCAGAGTCAGGCCAGGTCATGGTCGGGTCAGACTCAGGATCAGATCAGGTCAGGGTCAGACGTCAGGCGTCAGGGCCAGGCCAGGTCAGACTCAGGATCGGATCAGTGTCAGATCAGCTCGGGCCGGGTCATCTGACCACTCACCGTGTCGGCCGAGTGACGGGAGCCGGCCTCTGACCGGTCGCCGGCCCTCTGCTGCTGGCCCGCCCTGGTGACGCCGTTAGGGGCCCGGCTGGAACGCAGACAAAACGCGGCGTGAGGACACTCGGAGACGACACTGTGGCAGCGCAGTGCTCGACTACTGACGTTAAACTACGCAGTGAGGGTTCCCTTTATCATAGACAGTCTCTATTGGTACTCTGCAATAACTTCTGGGGTGTGGTTCAATGTAGGTGGGTATGACAAAACATCTGCGTGATAATGATAATGTCATAACATCGGCGTGAAGTTACAGTGATAATAACGCAAACGGGGAGGCAGCTGGTGAGCGGTGCATTACGTATTGCTGCAAACTGCCAGCCAAAAAGACAAGAATCAGTAGCGGGAAAGTGCAAAGCACGTCACTGGGCTCTTGTCTGCCATATTGCATGCCTAAATTACACCACAGCTAACACAAAGAGCAGGCAAGCGGAATGTGGATATCAATAATTTGAAATCAGTTTTACCAGTTCGATTTTGCACGTTCCTAGGTGCGAAATGACGGAATTTTCGCTTCAATCAATTCAGCAATTCAAAACTCATCAAAGCCCGACGAAAGCTTGCAGCGCACGAATTGCGCCGCGCCTCCAGACTGCCTGATTCAGAACACGTGAATCGAACGGCAGTGTTCCGGCCGAGCGGCTGGGCGCGGCTTTTCACGCCGCCGGGTCGTGTCGCGGCCCAGAGTGGAGGGTTAAGTGCAGGTGTGTCCCGCTATCTGGCGGCATGTGGGACCCCGCTCTGCAGTCTGCGTCACCCTGCTGCTGACAGGGCGCGGTCAGCGGGGCACCACGGAGGGACAGGGGTGCGGGCTGTGGCCGCCCTGGTACAGCACGTCAGGGAGGGGCCAAAGGTGTGCTTCATCGAAAACAGCTATTTCTGGAGGCGAACAAGAACTTCCGTTGCTCTAGGATGGACGATTGTCCACTGCATTTGGCAAAGCTTAGCACCTATAAATAATAATTCATCACAATGCTGCTTTTGAGTAGACACTGCACCTTTAAATCGAGCAGCTCGAGGTTCGAGTGTCCGTGGGAATAACTTCCCTTTGGATCTACTCACCCTCAGGCAAGATAAGTCCTATTCTATCTAAGCTTAGCGCCCTATTAAATCCCATCCACTCGCCTCCCAGGAAGTGTCAATGTCCTCAGCAAGATTGAGGCTCTCCATAACGCGGCACCAGACCAGACAAACGATGGGTGAGCAGCTTCATTTCGCTAACCACAGATTGCCAAAACATGAGCGAACCTCTAGACCTAAACCTAGTAAGACTCCCAGACAAGGATGATCAGCCACAATCGAATCGGCGTCTACTGGTTTACACAACGAATTAGTGTGATCGATCAGCGGCTGTCTATAACTCTCCAGTGAGGTAACGTCTATGCCAGCGCCTGTCCAGTGTGGTGTATTAGCGCCTGTCTAATGTCCAGCGTCGTGAAGTCTATGTCAGCATCTGTCCTGTGTACTGTGTAGTGTATCAGCGTCTGTCCAGTGCGGTGCATCAGCGCCAGTCCTTCGCAGTGTATCAGCGCCTGTCCTACGCAGTGTATCAGCGCCTGTCCAGTATCCCAGCGCAGCGGATCAGCCGCGGCAGTGACTGGCCGGCTCGGTCCGTTCAGGTCCGCGGATCACCAGGAATGGCCGCGCTGTCTGACCGTGAAATACCCGGAGTTAGCAGCTGTCCAGCCGGCCCGTCCGATCCGCCCACACCGGACTGCTACCTCAGCGCCCTCCAGCTGCCTCCCAGATCGGATCAGACGTGGGGTTATGAGCTGGTCAGAGCACAGAAAAGGTACCGATGGACCAGTATGGAAAAGTGCAGATCGCTTAGGCAAGGATCTTCTTATCAAGGAAGGGTCTATTATTAGTTGAGAATCTATAAAAAGTACTGCACCAATCAGAAATCAAAAGGTGTAGTACCTACTTTGATATGAAAGCCAATCCCTATTACTGGTCTCCTTGTGCTTTGTGCTTTGTCGTGGTTAATGGGCTCGTTAACGACAAGGCCATTACGCACTTAGCCACTGGAGCTCCATACAAAGCAGCTGTGTCCTTCGGCAGTCAATGCTGCATGTGCCGTGTTGAACGGAACCACGTAAGTCACGCGAACCGCGAACGCGTCTACATGCTGTACCGGTGCTGGCGGTTTCGACAGCACAGCTGATGCGAGGCAGTACCTCCGCTGTGTGCACGGTGCAGCGCCGCTCACTGCTGTGAATTAAGTCACATCCTGTTCAGATTAGACCTCTCACAAAGCTGATTCACGCTGGAACATGACCTCAGGTGTGGCGGTAAGTAAACCATACTTGGGTTCCTATCCAACAATTCGTGACTGTCACGTGTCGCGTGCCGTTGTCAGTGCTCAGTTGAGCACGCGCCGCACACACCGCAATGCCACCTGGCCCCACCACCCTCCGTCCCTCCCCCTCCCCTTACCGACCAGGTGACCGCCCCCGGCCCTCGCGGTAGGGTGGGGAGGGGGAGGGGACCAGGGTCGGGCGGCCGTTATCGATGTGTCTGACGCCGACCGAAATGCTGAGCATTTCAGGGCTCAGGGCTCAGGCCCGCTATTCTGAGCATGTATCACGGATGAAGTTACGCAATGCGTTAGTGTGGGGGGATTGCAGGGACACGGTCGGCGGTCGCTGGTCAGGTGAGGTCAAGGTCACCGGTGCGTGCCCTGACTGGCCACCGCAAATTGATCCGCCAGTAGCGCTGCTGGCCAGTTGGACCAGTAACTGGTTAATGACGTCACCGGCCACCCCAGTCGCCCTCACAGGTTGGCCTTCACTGCATACAGACACCGGCGTCCGGCACAGCTATCAGCTGAGCGGATGATTCTTACCTGGACAAGAGCGAGTGTAAGAGATGCCCTCCAGTAAGATGCCTCCCACCGTTCGCTGGAAGGGTTGTGGAGGACCTTCCGCCTCAGGTGGACACTACAGTGACGATCACCGATTAAAACACCGCCTCCACCTCCCGGTCACCGCTGACCGCCGCAGCGGGGCGCCGCACACACCACAGCACTCAACTCGAACTCGACTGGCCGCCGCTGCGAGCGTGAGTGGGGTCGGGAGGGAGGGGCGCTCCACCGGCGGCGAGCGGACCAATCAGAGCCGCCACCACTGGCTCCACCGGTCCCGGCAGAGTCTACCGGTCCGACCGACCGACCGGGCGCGCAGCACGGGAAATTCGGAATACCCGCCAGCCGCGCCGGCCGACCCAGCCGGTAAATAGCGGGCGGGGGTGGTAAATAGCCCAGGGCGGCCGGTATATGGCAGAAGGGTGGTTAATTGCTACCGGGATGCTATGACACAATAGCGACCCTCAAAGCACGGCAGGCACGGTTCGTCGGAAGGTCAACTCAGGCTCAAAAGAAACGGTATATACCATTCGAAAGCTGACGGTGAGCTGAATCCAAAAATGTATTTTTTATCAAAATCGATCGATGGCCTTTTTTGAAAATTGCGTTTTTGTAAAAACTTAATAATATTTTATTCAACGGGCTGTCCCGGACATTCTTGAAAACATAAACATGTATTTTTGAGTTCCAGTGAAAGCTGAAAGCCAAAAGAACAATATTCAGCGAAGCAATATTTCCAAACATTAATATGCGTCTCCCACAGCCGACAATAAGGCGCAATCACACATCTCAGTATCACGATGGACCAAAGTCAGCCACACATAAGCGTGAAATGACCCTTATCGACTCGCAGACCCGGCGCTCTCGGCCCGCCTGACCGGCCACGGAAAGAACGTTCGGCTCTCGTTCTACTAAACAAATGTACGTACCTAATATTTGCCACTTTAACTGTCCACATCGCTATTAAAGTTACTCAGGATACCTGTGAAGAAAATCCATTGTTCTGCTTGATTTACAACATGCTTTAATTACATTTTTCTTATACATGTTTTGTTCCATCCAGCTGCGATCAGTGCCCGCGCAGGGGAAGTGAGCGGGGTTTCACTGTCAGAGGCTGTACTGGTGACAGCTGCTGGGCCGTGCGACCGGTCAAAGGTTACCCTGCCCCGCCGGGCGCTACCCCCACTCCACCCGAGCTGAGGCCGGTGCAGCCTCTGACATTTCAGCGCGGCCAATTTTCCTTATATGGGCATGATACCAAGCTCAATTGAGCAAAGTAGACATGAACATATGCAAATTAATGCATGATGTGAAGATGACAGAACAATGAATTTTCTTCACAGGTATCCTGAATAGCTTTAATAGCGATGTGGACAGTTAAACTGACAACTTTGACATTTGTTTAGCAGAACGAGAGCCGAACGTTCTTTCCGTGGCCGATCAGGCGGGTCGAGAGCGCCGGGTCTGCGAGTCGATAAGGGTCATTTCACGCTTCTGTGTGGCTGACTTTGGTCCATCGTGACACTGAGCTGTGTGATTGCGCCTTATTTTCGGCTGTGGGAGACGCATATTAATGTTTGGAAATATTGCTTCGCTAAATATTGTTCTTCAGGCGTTCAGCTTTCACTGGAACTCAAAAATACATGTTTATGTTTTCAAGAATGTCCGGGACAGCCCGTTGAATAAAAAATATTAAGTTTTTAGAAAAACGCAATTTTCAAAAAAGGCCATCGATCGATTTTGATAAAAAATACATTTTTGGATTCAGCTCACCGTAAGCTTTCGAATGGCATATATCGTTTCTTTTGAGCCTGAGTTGACCTTCCGACGAACCGTGAGGGCCAGAGCCTATTTTAAGGGAATTTGACTGGGGGGGCAACCTGGAAAATTGTCTTTAATAATCCATCAACCCTCGCCCGTATTGGTGTTTCCAGTAGCGAGCGTATAGGGGGGGGGGGTCCGTTGGCCCCTGATCGAGCTAGAGCTTCGCGGGAAAAACGACCGTGTTGCCCGTGATGAAAGGAAGCCGATTATACCCAATTTTAACCCGGCGGCCGCTGGGCCTCCGCGCCACCCGCCGGCCGCTGGGGGGGGGGCATAAAGTTGCCCCCCCCCCCTTTACTTCTGCGACGATATCGTCGCAACGCGAAGAGATAGAGAAACGAAACTTTGCATACATCTTCCTGAATACCTAGCCGAGGTTGTGCCCGAATTTGGTGTCGATCCCATTTGAAATGACGTCACAGTGACGTCATAAGTGAAATTATAGATTTGCGACTCTCATATTCCTCACGATACATCACATATATGGGACCGAATATAAAGGGCCGATTATTGGTCAGAAACTAGATGGAAGTGTAGTAAGATGTTTTAGGATGACAGCAGGTGCTGTCTAGTTCATTTACAGTCGAGTTTCATGCTTAGCGTCATCAGAAACGGTCCATATCGGAAAACGACAAAACTTTATGACGTCACTGTGACGTCATCTTAGGTGCTACAACCACCAAACTTTCCTCAAACATTGCCTAGGTATTCATTAGAAGCTATGCAAAGTTTCACGTTCGTAGCTCATCAGGTTTCGGAGATATTTCACAAAACGTAAAGGGGGGGCAACTTTATGCCCCCCCCAGCGGCTCGTGGGTTAAGGTCCTAGGTCATCGGTTGACCTTCCAGGTCAGGTCATTGACCCAAAAGTCGGGAAAATCGGGACCTGTTAGAGCGTCGTAAAGAGTGGCTGCTATGGTTTTTCGGGGTGCTGATCACGAATATCATGTTAGTTATGATCATAGATGATGTCTTCATGCATTTAGGCCAGGTCAGGTCAGGTCAGGTCAACCAGTAAGGGTTTTGCCGGGTATTCGTAGTAGGTGGCAACCGCCTCTGAGAGCTTCGTAACATGTTACGAAGGCACCAAAACTACTTCGTAAATGGTCAAATGGTTGCTTAATTCGAATTCAGCTCCAAAAACTAGCCTAGAAACATATAAAACTCGAAAATGTGAACCGAGGTCATCAAAGGTAAATGATCTGACCTGACCTTCCGGTGATCTTGACACCCACCCTAATGCATGGGAGCAACATCATATCCCATGTTTGAACGTTTGAAACCACGAAAAGACTGCAAACGCGCGGCTAATGCGAGGCGACATACGCCGAATCGCGACCTCGGCCAAACATGGTGCCATGGTGCTAGGCCGCCGGTGCATCTGAAAGAACTGTGGTGCCCCTGACAAGCCTGAAGTTCCAACGACAGGCCCGTGGTGCCCATGACAGGCCCATGATGCCTTTGCGAGGCCGGTGGTGCCCACGTGAGGCCGGTGGTGCCCCTGGGCCCTGACAGGACTGTGGTGCTCCTGACAAGCCTGGAGTGTCCCCGACAGGCACGTGGTGCCACTAACAGGCCCAAGGTGTCCCAGTCCCTGCGAGGCCGGTGGTGTCCCTGCCAGGCATGTGGTGTCCATACTAGGCCTCTGGTGCCCCTGACAGGTCCGTGGCGCCCTTGCTAGACCATGGTGCCTCTGGCAGGCCTATGGTGCCCCTGGCGGGCCTGTGGTGGTACCCCTGACAGGCCCAAGGTGGTGCCCCTGCGAGGCCGGTGGGGCCCCTGGCAGGTCTGTGGTGCCCCTGGCAGACCTATGGTGCTCTTGCTAGGTTGATGGTGCTCCCAACAGGCCTGTGGTGCCCCTGACAGGCCGGTGGTGCCCCTGGCAGGCCTGTGGTTTCCCCGGGCCCCAAGAGGGTGGGGGGTCATGACCCATATGACCCACCCTTAGATACACCACTGGTCATTACTTACAGACTGACTCATTTGACATCCATTGCAAAACAAGTCACAGTAGTTACGTAGTATGTTTGTCAGCCTGTTCCTTTATGCCCATTTTTATAGTGGGCAAATCTCGACGACTAGGGGGGCAATTCTGTTGAGTGCGGGGGCATTTGCCCCCCCAGTTAACATGTTAAAATAGGCCCTGGTGAGGGCCGCAGGAGGCTAGTCGCCGAGAACGAGGTACACATTATTAGCCCAGTATGTTTTCTGTCAGCGAGCGGTTAGATATGAGGCCGAACATCCTTGCTCAGAAGCAGCCCCATCGCTTCTCGACTACCATCTTCTTTTTCCCAGCTCAGTCTGAGCGCCGATTGTGATGGGACGAACAGCAGAGTTCAGGAGAACCGATTGCACCACCCAGAGTCGGGATCAAAAAGTTAGCACGGAAGTTAATGGAATCCAGCACTGGCGTCGCGGAGAGCTGCACCCCCGAGACGACCGACCGGAATTTTCCATCCTTCCTGAGGACACTGGCCGAGGTGCGTTTCTGCCTAGCATCCACTGCTGCGCAGCCGCTGCACATACAGCGCTCACCGGGCGGCTGCGAGCAACGCCAGTTATGTTTATACAGGGTCACACAAACAATCGTGATGTGATGATGCTGGTGAGGGTGCAGCTGCACTAAGTGCACCCGGTGCGTAGTTATGCACATTAACAGAACTGCAAAACACTTCAGCGTCACTGGCAGCACTATTGTGCGCTATGGTGCTGCCGGTGCTACCTAGTACCTACATTCATCTTTCATAAGTAAGTCTTCATTGCTCAAACGTTTTCGGGTGCTAATAAAAATAGTCATACCTGAAACGGGTGCAAATTAATTGCGTGTGCAATGGGCTACAAGCGTGGCAGCAAACAGCAAAGAGTATGATAGGTGAAACGTGTCCAGCAGGTGCAGTTCACAAAGTGACGTTATGTCCCCTCGATGTCGCGTAGGCAATGACGTTTCAAAAGAAAGTACCGACCAGTCCTGAGAGGGGGTCCCGAGGGCGATTCAGTCTGGCCAATATCATCGGCCGTCACTGGCATTGCGCGGCTCTGATTCACTGAACTCATTACTGCGCGCCAACCAGCAGGATGACTAGAGATGCAGATGGCAGCGTTATCCATCGATACGGTCACCGCAGGGGAGTCGGTACATGTCTGGCATGTGGATCGTGCACTGTGCAGAGCTCTACAGCAAGCATAAGCGTCTTCGAGCAAAAGAAAAATAAGACAAGCGTCATCACTCAGTATATATTCGCCATCACGGATCATGAGGAGTTGGCCGGGGTAAACAATCCAACTGACCTGCCGATGCACCATCGGTGCGCAGTGAATGCCGTGCTAACATGCGGAAAATAAATGTGGCGACAGTTCTGGCCATACGGTGTACGTCGAAAACAGATACACATATAAAGGCAAAGCACAACTTAAGATGTATCACCTACCATTGACTAAAAGCGTTCATGCATGCAAATGCCTAGGCAATCCAAAATTCGAAACAAATCGCATTGTTTCCATGACTGAACAAAATAGAACATGTAAATGATCTGTCTGGTTCACCTAGCGACGCCCGTACCCCAGCAAACAGTAAAAACAATGCGCCGTCGGTACGCTAAACTGTCCAGCAGGCATGTTGATGTGACTATTGGTAACAGGGAGGACACCCAGCTCCCGCGCCTCGCGCTCCACTGGGAGCCATCCCCGAAAGGCGCAGCCGCTATCGCAGCGCCATCTGAAAGCCTGGCTCAGGTGGGAGGGCGCCACCGGTCCCGGCTGACTGTCTCGGACCCCAGAGCCCGCCCATGACTGGGGGCACTGTCACTGTCCCCCTCGCCTGTCCAAGAGACAGGCCAAGTGACAGTTCATAACGGCGCGCCCAGGCCCGCCCGAAGGCCCTGCGCAAACCTCATTACCAGCGGGTACAGGTCCTTACGGTACCCAGAGCGAGAACTGGACTTGCCAATATAACAAGTCCAGCCGAGCCCCCTTCCAAGTGACCCCCGTGATCCGACCCCGCCTCCAGCCCAGACCGGACGATCTCCGGGCACCCCTGGTATTGCATCTGTCGGCAGCTCGCGCCTCGCTGGCCCGTGGACGCTCGTACTGGCCGACACACTGCAGCTTTCTGGGCCCGGCGCGGCCCACCCACACCGACTCACACGTACACACACAGGGAGCGGCTCGGAGGCGGCGGCAGCATGCAGCTGAGCTCGCGGCGCGTCACTGGCTCACCTGTCGACCAGCGCGCCGCCAGTGGCGCCCGCCGCCGGTCCCGTCACGTCCGTCTCCTCCTCCTCAATGTCGTCAAACAGCTCGTTGTTGCGTTTCTTCTCGTGCACCCGCTGCAGAATGGCGTCCGAATCGAGCTCGGCCATGTTCATGTGTCGGTACGTCGCCTCCAGGGTGCTCCCTTCTTCGACGAAGCTGTTTTTGGGTGTGAACGGGTAGGCGCCGATGTCGTCGGCGCCCTCGAAGCCGCCGAGCGGTCCGCGCCGCAGCTCGATGCGCTGCAGCAGCTCGCGCGAGTTGAACGACGGCAGCGTGACGTCGGCGATGGCGTCCGAGTCGGCCACGCTGTTCTGTGGTGTGTACGGGACAGAGCTGTGCGCTGAGCTCTGGGAGCTGCCCGCCTGCCGGACGGAGCGAGGGGCAGCCGGTCAGCGGGGAGTCGGGTGCGGGGCAAGCGGGGTCTGATAGAGGGTTGGGTCTGATACATGTCAGCTAAGGTCTGATATAGGGCAGGTGGGGTCTGATAGAGGGAGGGTTGGGTCTGATACAGGGCAGATGAGGTCTGATACAGGGCAGGTAGCGTCTGATATAGGACAGGTAGCGTCTGATATAGGACAGGTAGCGTCTGATATAGGACAGGAAGCGTCTGATATAGGGCAGGTGGCGTCTGATATAGAGAAGATGGGTATCCTGCGCAGGGCAGGCCTAAAAAGGGCCGAGTGGGTTCGAATTGATCACATGCAAGTCTGACACTGCCGCAGGTTCTATTCAAACAGTCACATGAGGTCAAACTGGCCAGATTGATAAAAATCGGGTAGTTGGCTCATCCAGGTCCGGGGAGGTTGGGCGCAAGTGATAATGTTTGAATGACGTTAGTCAAGTAAGAGTCTCACATACATGTCAGGTAAGGTGACACAGCTGACAGCGCCGGATCAGAATCAGATACGAGGCTACTACGGTCAAAAGAAGGTATCATGAATTTTATTGGAAAGATTCGATCACTCTCTCACACACACGCACGCTTACTTCACGACAAGGTGGGTTAGACCATGTTTTTTCTTCTTCTTTTTAGATTATACGAGGTAAAGGCAGCTGCAGCTAACAACGTGATATGTACTCTTTTCGGCGAAACTGAGAATGTCTAAGAGTACTTATATTACAGCCTTGATGGTATGGCATATGACGAGTGCAAACTAAAACAGAGAGACGCGCGATGTCCAACACATTCAGTTAGCGTCACCATCAGGGAGACGGGGAAATGTATAGTTCCATACACCTACACACCAAATACTAACAAAATATATTTGATTCGGTAAATGGAAACCAGAGTTTTCGTCATAACAATTCAATAATATTACTTAATTAAACTATTCCGCAAAATTTCTATTATAGTCCGAAAGGCGCCGCTACAAAGAAGAAGCGGATTCGTCAATGAATAAAGCACATGAGCGACCAGGCCGGACTTGGCAACACCTCGATGTCAGCCAATGCCGCCGACTCCATAGAACCTGTCACATTGACATCCGACGCCGATATCGACTGAGGCCTGACCAAACACCACAGCAACTCCAGAACCAACAACATCGACACTGAAAAGGTGCACTAACGCATACTCCACACAAATGACAGCCACAGCCGCCAATAACGGTCCCGCTCAGCCATGCATCCTACACCCACACAAAATAAAAAAGGTACAGCAGGTGACTGCAAACTTCGCCTGAAACGTCGAACCTCAGCAAACAGTATCGACCCTGCTCGCACTTTCGCACCGTTTGTGACCTGACTGGCGGTTTCCTATATTGTGTGACCGTCTACACGGATGTGACACACATCGCGGTTGGTGTTTGGCAGCAATTTGTCGTTATGGGGCCACCGCCTTCCAGGCTTTGACCACTTGACGACTGAGTGCGGCGGCATTCGCGCATGGCACATCATCGAGGTAGGACTTAGCTGGAGAGGACACGAAGAACTTGAGTTGCTGGACACAGTGTGAGACGAAACCATCAGAACGTCAACAACAGCTGAATCTGTTTACTTACTGGTTAAATACCATTCTAAATTATTCCGCCAGTAGCGTTCACACGGCCAGCCATGTTCCAACGCCGCTCAAACGCCGTCCGACCGGATAGCTCCTCCCGGCCCGCCGCGCCAGCCTCCGGTCCACCTCAGCGAGACAGCGCGCTCACGGCTGCCTCGCGGTCGTTTCTCGTCCTGCTGCGCGTAACCGGCCTGTCGTCCGGCCCAGGATGGACCTACGCGCTGTTCGGCGCCGTCCTCTTCACGCTGCAGACCGCCTATAACTTCTACATCATTATCCACGCCGTGCGTGCATTCTTGGAGCTGCGCAGCGCCGGCGAGCCCCTACTGAGGGCAGTCATCGCCACTGGCTTTGTGGGGATGGTGCTGCTGACTTTCTGGCTCACCATCACCGTGTGTCTGGTCGGCGGCGGACGGAGGTACGCGGTCGCTCTGGACAGGATCTCGGACGTGCTCAGAGACGTGCGAGACACACCGGAGCTGCCCAGGCCTCTCCAGAAACCTGGCCGCACCGGTGAGTGCGCCTGGGCGCTGACGGTCGTTCTGGCGGCTCTGCATGTCGGCTGGGAGATTGGGAAGATCCAGCAGCAGTGCTCGGAGTCGGCAGCTCGCTGCGGTGAGTGGCTGCTGAATGACGCGCCGTTCATCTACGTCTGGCTGTTTGTGCAGATGGTGGCCGTCAAGTTCATGTTCGCCGGTCACCTGATCGCCACGGGGCTCGGCTCGGTGACGGCCGCCGCCGAGGCCACACTCGGGGACGGTGGGACGGTGGACGCCGCCCGGCTGCGGCGGCTCGGCGGCCTGCAGCGCCGCCTCGCCGACGCCTTCTCCGGCCTCACGGTGGCCATGACGGCGGAGCTGACGGCCGTCACGCTGAATGGCGTGCTCAGTCAGATCATCGTGGCGCTGTCGGTGACCCAGGTGGGCGCCGTCGGCCAGCGGGCCGTCTCGGTGCTCTACCGGTACATCCCGATGGCGGCGGTGACGCTGGCCGGGCCGTGCGAGACGTGCCAGCTGCTGCTGCGCCGGCTGGGCCGCTGGCGGGACCTGCTGCTGCAGCTCGAGTGGCTGCAGCCGCAGCAGAGCGCGCCGCCGGCGGCCGCCCAGCTGGCGCTGCTGCACCGGTCGGCGGCGCGCGACCTCGACTCGGCCGGCGAGCTGGGCCTGTTCCGACTGCGCCGCTCCGCCCTGCTCGGCATCCTCTCCACCATCCTCACCTATGTCATCGTCGTGGTGCAGTTCCAGCTCTCCGAGATGTCGCCGTCCACCACGGCAAGCCCGGCCGGCAACGTCACGGCCGCACCGACTGTGCGAACATAGCTGGATGAAATTAACCAGCTCTGAATAGTTCCGATGAATTTGAAATCCACCTCGGGGATTGAAAAGCACAAGCGCTCGTCGGTCTCATATGAACCTTTTAAATGTCGACCAGCTTTCGCAAAGATATCAATAAAATGACGAGCACTTTACAGGTTATCAATTATTAAACTTGGGTAAAGCGGGAGCCTGCTTAAAGCGTATCCGTAGTTATCGCCTTAAATTGTTGCGTAAATACGAAGCAGATAAAGGCACAGTCATAGCTGCTGCAAACGCGATCAGTGTGCAAATGGCAGCGGGAAGCGCCAATCCAATCTTAGCTAAAATAAAAGTACCTGTAAATAGAATTTCAATTTACGGTTCAAAGGTAATACAGGCAAAACTTACACTGGTTGACTGTACTGTATGTCGCGAAACCGGCACGGTGCGCAAGGATCACCTTCATATGCATGTGGATTATGGAAATATTTGTTGTAATGCGCACTAGCTTTGACTAATGTGGGGTAATAGACGAGGGACTTTGGTAGTCTATACCATGAGATTACAACTGTCTCTCACTGCCATTGTCGTGGGTGTCCGTTTCATGATAAATGTTTGTGTTTAGGGGTGGCGCAACGATAAAGCTGCTGTATGACGTTCATGTGGCGTCCGTCCTAATGTTGGAGAGTAAATAAAGTTTCAAACCGTTGCATATTTTGACTGCAAGCCGACCTTTCAAAGATGTTGCAATTTGTTGAGCAACGCATCGGCCGTGGTATTGCTAATGACCGCGACCATAAAGAGAGGAGAAGGAACCCGCGAGCAGTTCATCTCTTCAGGATGTCCAGACTACCTACTGTAGAAAAAAAAAATGAAAGTATTGCTCTCCAGTGGAAACAATCAGCTGAAATACCAGGCAATGGGTGTTTGAATAACCATTAGTTCGGAAATCTTAGGTCGGAGGGTCTCTCAATTCTGTATCAAGTCATGGCTCATGCTATGTGATGCTATGAAAGTTCCCGCACTTAGAAAAGCCGTGTTTAATTGTGTGCGGTCGTAGATTATAAACAGAATGCCTACAAAGTGACACAAATCACCCATTATTCCACTTTACCTTCCCCTGCATTGCCACATCCCGCGCTGTACTGTTCTGAGGAGCGATCAGTGGTCAGCTCACCGTGCTGGTCGGCCCGCGTGCCGTACCGTACTCACCGTGCTGGTCGGTTCCAGCAGCGCAGCCACCTGGGCGCTCAGGGCCAGGTCAATGCCATTCGGTGGCCTCAGGTCAGCCGACACCTCTGGTCGGACGGGGTGAGGCAGCGCAGGCGGCGGGGGCGAGGCTCTGCGCGGAGTCGGACGGCCCACGGGAGACAGCTCGCCCGAGTCGCTGCCTGCAGAGACGTGCGGGGTGGTTACGGAAGGGTAATAGAGAAATAGGTATGACTCATGACTTGGGGGGGGGGGGGCAAAGTGAGTGAGGAGAGAGAGAGAGAGAGAGAGAGAGAGAGAGAGAGAGAGAGAGAGAGAGAGAGAGAGAGAGAGAGAGAGAGAGAGAGAGAGAGAGAGAGAGAGAGAGAGAGAGCGAGAGAGAGAGAGAGAGAGAGAGAGAGAGAGAGAGAGAGAGAGAGAGAGAGAGAGAGAGAGAGAGAGAGAGAGAGAGAGAGAGAGAGAGAGAGAGAGAGAGAGAGAGAGAGAGGCGGAACTCCAAAGATGCGGTTTATCGGGTGCGTATGTGTGAATGACACTATCGCTCGTCAGGCTCCCAAAATGGAAACCAGAGTCGGGGCGCAAAGTCCAGCGATAGGCTGTTTGTTTTCATTGTACCGAGACGACCTTCAGTTCTGCGCGGTGTGTGTGTGTGTGTGTGCGGGGTGGGGGGCTGATAGCACGTATCGCGCGGATACTGACACCAGGAGAGGGAGAAGCTGATCTGAACAGACGGCTCATTATGCTTAGCGGTAGATGCTACCAATTGCAGCACCATTCAACGAGGTGAAATAGACAGTTTTAGCAATGAAAATAAACAATCAACGACAGGTAAAAGGTATGTAATCAAAGTGTAACTAGAGGTGAGAGCCGACCAAAGCCGCTCGATCATCCTGCGCAGCAGTTGTCCGGTAAAGGCGCTGTACGTCTGGCTCGAGTTCAGGATGACAACCCCACCTCACACTCAGGGACCAGCTGCAGTCACCAGCGGTACGCATTCTCACAAGGCAGCGAATAAGGTGCGCCAGCGATGGATCACACTTCCCCGTAACATGAGCAGTACAAATGTGCATGTCAGCGAAACATGAGCCTGAGAGAGTGATCCTAAGCGAGAAAATATTAGGATAGATAATTACCTAACCCGAACGAAACAACGAGAATGAAACCTTATGACGCGAGGCTTTTGGCTGCGGAGAAAAAATATTTGTTTCATGTACATTGTACATTTGTTTCAATCGCAGGGATCATTGTCGTGCTGTGATAGCACATGTTAGTGATGATTAGTGGAAGGATGAAACAACAATGGTATCGGAAAATAACAATGTATTGAGGAAAAAGGTAAAAAACGAGCAAAATAAACAAGTAGGATCGAGTCGAATGGATAGCATGAGTAAGCACTTCCTTTCAATATCACACGGGACCATAAAGTCACACAGAACTTCAGCGACAATCAGTCATGTCACTACGCGGTACGATGTTCAACTTAAAGTGCAAGCTATTATTAAACTCAAACTCAATTGAAATACAAACTATAGTTAGGCAATGCTCACCTGAAAATGCAAGCTATAATTAACTCAACTATAACTCAAACTCATGTGAAATACAAGCTATAGTTACGCACCCGATCCCCTTACCAGCAATACATTTTTTCTATTCTCACTCTTCGGCTCATTCAGCTCATTCTTCTACACAATCATAAAAACAGCAAAAAGGCATCTGTGGACTTATACCCCGAGAAAACCCGGCGCCTAGCCTCTAGCCCTATCCACCCACGAACATGCCACCACGGCAACCGCATCCCTGTCCTCTCGCCCGTCTGTCCATTCTTACATCAGCCGCCGGGACAGCGGCCACACGGGGGTGATTTACCGACCTGCCGGGGCCGGTAGCGCCGCCAGGTGCGCCTGCAGTAGCGGCAACACCGCCTTCCGCGAGGCGGCCACGTTCGCTTGGCTGAACAGGGTGAGCCGCTGGTGAGGAGAGCTGACTCGACTGAGGCCCAGACAGGGCGTCACAGCACCCTCCAGGGCGGCACACACCTGACCAGGGCACACAGACAAATATCAAACACCAGACAGTTCCTTACAAAGGAGCACACACCTGAACAAGGCACACATATGTACAGACAGAGAATGTCACGACAGGGCGTCACGGTGCCCTCCAGCAGGGCACACACCTGACCAAGGTACACAGACCAGACTGCATAGGACGTCAGACAGGGCTAGCAAACCAGCTATGAGCTGTGAACACGAAACAGCCGTACAAAATACACGGGGGCGGGGCGCCGGGGCTGGTGTTCGCAATTCGTAAACAAAACCCTAAATTGCGGCCAAGTAAAGCAGAAAATGACTACTGGCAAGCCGAGTGTCTTACGTTCTAGTTGGCAGTTACATTGACAACTTGTCCTGATTGTGACAGCCACCTGAGTCATAGAAATCACAATGTCGTCGAACAGACAAGCCAACAACACTTCACTACACAAAACTTCAAATAACAGCTGCAAGCCAAACCCGCAATTCACTTGAAAAATGACAGCAGTCAACAATATGAAAGCGTTACATATAGTCTAGTATCTATAAATGAAACAGGCGGTGACCTCATCTAAGCCGACTACCTCAGTCACTGTCCCCAGCCCCCAGGTAACCACTGACCCGAGGTAACCCCGCAGCAACCCTATCTGACCTGGTTCCGCGCCTCATCCTTAGCCGAGAAGACGGCCAGGTCGCGGCTGAACTCAGTCCCCGTCTGGCTGCCCATCAGAACCACCAGGTCACGGCCGGTCGACTGGCAGAGCTGGTTACACGCCGAGACGGCGTCCGGCGCGCGGACAAAGTCCTGGGGGCAGGGCAGAGCGGCACGTCATCGGGGGACGAGAGGGGGAGGGCATGTCAGAACGCTAGGGAATGCTGATGTGCTGGCAATACGCCGGTACGTAAATACAAACCTGCGACTGAAAGACAGCTAATGCGTCTGGAAAAGGGTAGCGTAAGCATATTTTGCATGTGGTAGAAACCAATAATTTTAAGGAGGAAAATGGTAACCGTGCCTGCTACATAGCAATTGGTTAACGACAAGCAACAACCCAGAGCAACTTCTTCAATGAGCTATGCGCGATAACAGATATGTGTTGCATGAGCTCAGTTGACCAAGGTCTCGCATACAATAACAAATAGTGACGGAACAAGCCCGGCCTTTTCACAACACTGTGCAAGGGCACCAGAGGATCTGTGCTTATATCGAATGGCATATAGTTCAGTCGTATTTGGTGTAATACAATACTGAAACTATCAAAACGACGCCGACTCTGGCTATTCTCCGCGGCTCCTGAGTCCTGAGCATCAGCGAGTCAGCTGGCAATCGTCCCATCTTACACCCGGATGGCGCTGCAAGGCTATTCGGCATTACACATTCACTGCTTGCTGCGCAGGGGATGTGACGCTAGGATATTGGGGAATTCATTAAAGACAGCTTACACAATACGGCAAGTTTAACGAATACAAATATTTGACCGGCCGACGTTGCACTCTCGATGATACATTGCTGTGGCGAGGGTTGTGGCAGGAAAATCGTCACCAACCGCTGTACATATGTTGTCTTCCGGTGATCATGTAGATCAGACATGTTTGTGACTCATACAAGAACATTTCTAGGTCCTAGCGAGAACAACGAAACTCAATTAAAAATAATATTTGAAACTCATGGCGCGCTACTCTGGAAAAATGACAAGTAATCGTCGCACTGGCAAACAATAAGTAACCAATCTGAATCATCGAATTGCTTGTTTTCCGACAAAAAAAAAATGATTGACCGCGATGCCTCTCTTTGTACATATACTTGGGTACCGTCTCGACCGGCCAGATGCACCACAGCCAGGGCTGCGGAGTCGATGGATTTTCGGCGAGTCCGACTCCGACTCCGACTCCGGCTTTCAAAAACCAGCTCCGACTCCGACTCCGACTCCGGGCAGAATTGTCGACTCCGACCGACTCCAACTCCCGACTCCGACTCCGCAGACCTAGCAGGGCTGCGGAGTCGACAGATTTTCGGTGACTCCGACTCCGACTCCGGCTCGGGTTTCTAAAATCGACTCCGACTCCGACTCCGACTCCGGTCACAACTGTCGACTCCGACCGACTCCGACTCCGACTCCGACTCCGCAGCCCTGACCACAGCATCGGGCCCGATGGCGGTGACTCGCGGAAGGGGCTGTCAAAGCCACCCAATGCTCAGAGATCTGACACGAAATTCGGCCCGTAAACAAATACCGCACCGCACCGAGCAGAGAGGACGGCGGCGTTCAATACAGGGGTCAGCGTGGACGGCTGCTGATGCTGGGAGATGCTGTGACGGGGTCACAAAGTGTTCCCTGCTACACCCGGAGTATGGTTGGCAGTAAAAGGGACAATAATACCTGCAGATTGGCTCACGCAGGATCAACGTAAATAAAACAACACAATACAAATGAAGATAGAAATAATTTTCTTAGCATGTCGCTGTGACAAACGATAATATTCTGCAAAAAACACGTTTTGGTATTTCAGCCGCCCCAAACAGATATGGAGCACTTCGTTTAAACATTCGGCATTCAGCTGATCTAAAATAATAAGCACAGACACTGAGACAGATATCGGCTGAGCGTCCATCGGTCATATTCCAAATAACGATCTCATTTCAGCAGAAAATTGGACGCGTTAGGTCCCCGAGAGGCTGTGTGGGCCTCGGCACCTAGTGCCGGCCGATAAGGACACGGAACGAAATGAATGACTCACTGAACACACATACGATAGCCGGCCGCCGCTGAGATGGCAGTTATATGTAAGAACTGGCATGTCGCCCAGGTGTAACAGATACGAAATAAAAACAGCAGGTACTCTGTTCGTAAATTTCGGACTATTTTTATTGGAAACAAACTTCGGTCAGGGAAAGGGAGTCAGATAAAGTAAAATTAAGCTGGCAGCGTGGATTTGTTGCATTCGTATGAGTGTCAGTAGGTACGCATCGAAAACATGATCAGCAGGGTGTACCTATGCATAAAACTGTGCTCTGCAATACCCCATGAAAGGTCAAACATGTAGGTTTAAAGCTTCAGATCCTAACCGCTTTCCGTAATCAAGCTAAATAAAGATCACTTCACCCAACTAATATCCAGTATCAATATCCAAGCGGCTGTTGATGCAAAATATAGGTACAGGTGAGAGCATCTCTCCTCATCAGCAAACAACCGAAACCGGCAAAACCAGGGCTGCGGAGTCGGAGTCGGAGTCGGTCGGAGTCGACAGTCGTGACCGGAGTCGGAGTCGGAGTCGGAGTCGATTTTAGAAACCCGAGCCGGAGTCGGAGTCGGAGTCACCGAAAATCTGTCGACTCCTAGGTCTGCGGAGTCGGAGTCGGGAGTTGGAGTCGGTCGGAGTCGACAATTCTGCCCGGAGTCGGAGTCGGAGTCGGAGCTGGTTTTTGAAAGCCGGAGTCGGAGTCGGAGTCGCCGAAAATCCATCGACTCCACAGCCCTGGGCAAAACGATAACAAAAAAAAAAAACGTAAAACCCCACCCGTCTCAGTGAGCACCTGCACCCATCGGCCCCGACTGAAGAGGGGTGCGTCGTACTAACCTTGACTAGCATCGGCACGGAGCAGACGACCGCCGAGAGCGCGGCGCCGTCGGCCGCCTTCTGGTCCTTGCGCAGCAGCTCGAAGCTGCTGAGCCGGCTGACGTCGCCCTTGGCGCGCTGCAGCATCTCGAACAGCTGGTCGGGAGAGTCGCCTGCCGCACAGCGCCGGGCACCAGGTCAGTCTGAGAGTGGACGCTGGGCCGCCCGCCACCGCGGCCAGCCGGACAGCCGGACCGGCGCCCCGCCCCCGACACTCGCCTCGTGTGCCAAACACGAAAACACACCTCGCGCCGCGAGAAACACCGCCCAAAGTTGCCGAGACACGACTGCTTACTCAATCGGAGACGTCACTATGAGCGCTCATCCACAAACGATCCAAGGTGCAGTGTCGTCTCCACAGTGTAACACTTCCTCACCTCGCACAGTTATTGTGACTTATTCCGGGCGGCTGCGCTGCGGTGACGGCCGACACTGGTGGCACCCGGTACTGTTTACATGAGACTGTGAGGGTACGGTGTCCGACGCGAGAGCGGTGGTGACGGTACACCCTGCCCAGGGGCGCCCCCCTCCCCACCACGGACAGCCCAGACCCGACCGAGCCATGGATTAGGTATTCCTTTAGGAATACTTCATCCATGACCGAGCTATGTGCTGGGGAGACGCGGTACCGGCCGGCGTTACATAATTTATTGGGAAGGCAGCTTCAGTACCGGCGCGAATTATTGCGAAAGAAATGACGGTATGCAGTTTTGAGATGCCAGCGGAGAGTCGAAATAAACACATGTCTTCCATAGTATTAGTAACGCGCACATGAATGTGAATAGTTAGGCGGAAGAAATGAAATTATAACAAATGACATTAACCCTCGCCCGTATTGGTGTTTTTCCAGCCGCGAACGTATAAGGGGGGGGTCCGCTGGACCCCCCCCCCTTGCCGTTTCGCCCCTGATCGAGCTAGAGCTTCGCGGAAAAAAACGAGCGTGTTGCCCGTGACGAGAGGGAGCCGATGATACCCAATTTTAAGGTCCTAGGTGGTCCTAGGTCATTGGTTGACCTTGCAGGTCAGGTCAATGACCCAAAAGTCGGGGAAATCGGGACCTGTTAGAACGTCGTAAAGTGTGGCTGCTGGGGGGTTTTCGAAATGCTGATCACGAATATCATGTTAGTTTTGATCACAGATGATGTGTTCATGCATTTAGTCCAGGTCGGGTCAGGTCAGGTCAGGTCAACCAGTAGGGGTCCTACCGGGTATTCCTAGTAGGTGGCAACCGCCTCTGACAGCCTCGTAACATGTTACGAAGGCACCAAAACTACTTCGTAAATGTTCATATGGTTGCTAAATTCGAATTCAGCTCCAAAAACTGGCCTAGAAACATGTAAAACTCGAAAAAGTGAACCGAGGTCATCAAAAGGTCAATGACCTGACCTGAGCTTCAGGTGACCTTGACACCCACCCTAATGCATGGGGGCAACACCATATCATATGTTTGAACGCTTGAAACCACGAAAAGACTGCAAACGCGCCGCTAATGCGAGCCGACATACGCCGAAACGCGATTCTGGCCAAACATGGTCACGAAAAGTAGGTCACAGCCCACAGGTCAAAGGTCATTTGGGTCAGGGTCATGAAATTTTTAGGGTAGGTGTAAAATTAAATAACGCGAGGGTACTGAAAGTTTCGTTGCGATCGGCCGCTTTTTACGCGAGTTATTCGCGAAAAACCATGGGGGGTCCGTTCGACCCCCCCCCCCCCCCTATACGGGCGAGGGTTAAACCAGATAGACGGCGACACATTGCACGGCTATAATAAGCAAATTGAATAGCTACGCACCGATTATATAGTTTGTTTCAAAATCCATCCATCAAACAGGCAGAGAAAATGATAGCATCGCTTGATTGTGGAAAACAGTCATATGTGAAGCTGTATCCTGGAAGGCATCCCTTTCCACCAGCTTCAACTTCCAGCGCAGGCACGAATGGCCGCACAATACACACGGTCAGATAGCGCGCCCCGCTCACTGCCCAATAGTGTAAGTGACGGATCAGATGTCCCGGGAGAGGCGCGAGGTGTGTCCCTCAAAGGTGGGGCCGGGAGGGGGGAGGCTGAAGTGATCAGCGCGGCAGTCCGACACAGTATCGGGTGACAGGAGCGATGTCAGCAGCGTTAGCGCACTGTCTGCATCGCAACAGCACCAGTCAGCTGTCAGAACTGTGTCAAGCAATGCTATTACGGGGCTTCTGTTACCTAATTCAATAAAAGCGTTTTTTTACGAGCCCCCCCCCCCCCCGAAAAAATACAATATATATTTACCTCACGAGTCAGCCAAGAGTGAGACGTTCCTCGAGCCGGTCATACATGTCGCCGTTGGGGCTATCACATGGGCCGTAACATTCGGTAGTCTAGGGAGCTCCCTCCTGCTACGCTTGATACCATGATCTCTATCTGATCTCTATCTGTGAAGTTGCAGCGGGTCTAGAATATAACGCGACACGGGGATGCAACTCAGCAGTAATTGCGAACAACCACTATAATACGGTTACATGTGTGACTGGGACCAACGCTGACCACGACTGGTCCGAGCGTTCCGCATATTTGCAGCAGTCGCCTGCAATCGATGTGTCAGAAGAGCAGCAGCAGTGTCAAAGCCGCGTCAGCAGTGTCGGAGTGATGTCGGAGTGGTGTCCGCAGTGTCAGAGCGTTATCAACAGTGTCAGGGTGGTGTCAGCAGTGTCATAGTGTGGTGTCCGCAGTGTCAGAGCGGTATCAGCGAGTCAGAGCGGTGTCAGCAGTGTCAGGGCGGTGTCAGCGGTGTCAGAACGGTGTCAGGTGGAGTCCGCAGTGTCGCGGAGGCCACTCACCTGAGGACAGCGGTTCCAGAAAGGAGATCATCAGTCGGTCCTTGGGCGTACCGCGCTGCGCTGCCGCAGACATGTTGACCGTGTCCAACACTATGGTGCCTGCCAGCCGAGCGGGGTGGGAGACGGGAGTCAGACAGCGGCAGCGGGGGAGTCATACAGCGGCAGCGGGACACAGCGGGGAGTCACACAGCAGGGGAGTCAAACAGCGGGGTCTGAGGAAGTCACACAGCGGACAGTAACACAGCGGAGCAGTCACACAGCGGCAGCGGGGCACAGCGGGGGGGGGGGGGTCACACAGCGGGGCAGTCACACAGCGGCAGTCGGGCACAGCGGGGAAGTCACACAGCGGCAGTCCGGCACAGCGGAACAGTCACACAGCGGCAGCGGGGCACAGCGGGGGGGGGGGGTCACACAGCGGACAGTAACACAGCGGGGGAGTCACACAGCGGCAGCGGGGCACACCAGGGGGGGGGGGGGGTCACACAGTGGCAGTCGGGCACAGCGGAACAGTCACACAAGGGGCGCCAGCGACAGCGGAGCGGTCGCGGTGGACGCCACAAGCAGCCAAGAAGTTCGGTACTCGGTTTTGTTCTTCATGGCGATTATGTGTTTATTAAATGAACGCAACAAGCTAAAATAATCAATTAATGAGTATGTAGCGCATAAATTCCTATCATGACTACTGCGTCAAAATAGTTTTAGCCGTTCCTGAATCTTCAGCTTGTAGGTTCAGACAAGCAAACAGTTTGAATGAGGAACACCCAGCTCCGGGTCGAGCGTCTTGGCTGCTTTGTGCGGTAAAATGCCTTATGTCAGTGCGTCAAATGTCAAGCTATTGGGAAACAAGCTATGCACATGGACTACAGTCTGTATGTGAGTAGACATCACAGCTGCACATTATATACAAAGGCATAGGCTATTTGTAAAGCAATTATATAACTCCTAATGCACCAAATGTAGCATTATTGACCAGTATAACGCCTTTTGGGGCGACTAACGGAGCGAGCGAGAGGGTGGGCCTTGCACGTGCGAAATTGCGAGGCGGTACCTCCAACTGACTTGTGCACGGCACCCTACTAACCGGTCTCTAGCGATGTGCCAAATTTGAGCACAATCGGCCCAGCCGTTCTCGAGATCTGGGCCTCGTTTCATAAAAGGAATTACTTACGGCGTTCCGTCAATTATGCCAGATTTGGCGTATTTGATGCCAATTCGGTTTCATAAAGCCGGAGACCGGAGTAATTCACGCCATCGAAAGTACGGAGCTTCATTTACGGCAAATGCTCGATTCCGGACCAATTGATGCCATTTGGGTTTCATAAAACGACGTAATTAACGCCAAATATTTTATCAAGCTCTTGATATCAGTGGTGTAAACTACGCACAAAAATGTTGCGTGATTTTGAATTAATGTGAAGATTCGAAGCTAATTTTTGATATATTTTATAATGTTGAGCCCGGTGAGGAAGAAAGAACAGCGAAAATGAGAAAAAGAAACTGCAAATCTTCTGTACCAGTCGCTTTTTGTGGCCACTATCGGAATTTTGTTTATTCGCCGCGCCGCGCCACTTTCGTATTTAGGCACTTCTGCTTAGCTGGCTTTCTGCTGTTTTTAATATATTGTTTTAATAAAGGATGGTCATCAATATCAATTTTGTTTTTTCATACATAATTTTTAAGATTTAAATTCAACATAATTGTTTTATAAATTCTCGTAAAAAAATAAGTGTTGACATGAAATTGTAATTTGTAGGACGCTTGATAAATTACGGTAACTACGCAAATGTGCTTAGTTACGGAGGTGTAAACAATTCCAGTTGTGGCTTTGTGAAACGGATTTATTTGCGCTCCGTAGTTTGAAAGGGTGTGAATTACGGAAAGGTGTAAGTTACGGCAGAGTTTTATGAAACGAGGCCCTGGAAGCGACACCCTGCACGTGCGCACGTGCAAAATGGGTCCCAACTGACTTGGGCACGGCACCCTACTATCCGGTCCCTAGCCATATATCAAATTTAGGCGCAATCGGTCCAGCCGTTCTCGAGATCTGGAATCGACCCCTGCACGTCCGCACGTGCAGCAGCACCCCAACTGTGGCACATGGATATGCATTGCCTAGTGGGTGCCTACCTACATGCCAACTTTCAGCGCAATCGGCCCAGTAGTTACCGAGATATTGCAACTATTACAAAAGTGACACCTCTTCGTTTTGCACGTGGCACGTGCATAAGGGGTCACCCACATGCATCGGGAATAGTCCAATACTTGGTAGAAGGAATGAAGCTACCCTACAAAAATTACCGCGTGTAAATCGGTCAAGTGGTTGCTGAGATATAAGCGTCGCAGAATCGTGACCACGGCCGGCCGGCCGGCCGCTCATACTCAGAAATTTCCGTTATTCTACGTAAGACTCCGCTCGCTTCGCTCGCTCCGTAACAAATGTTCACCTCTTGCATTTCCTATTAGGGAAATGAAATGTGTATTGAACGCCAACCATTGAGTATTGGTCTCTATTCTCTTTCATTCCGTCAGCTAGCATCCCCTCCTACCAGGCACAATAAGTGTCAGCGAAGGTCGGCACCAATGATGTAGGGTCATGCATGCCATAGCTGTCCAAGCATGCTCGCTAGTGCCACCCGGGGACAACTGAAAAGCTGCAAAAACCGCGACGGAAGCTACTATGATTCGGGAGGTAAAAAGCATAAGCCTATTGAGATTAGATTTCGTTATGTGAGGCCGACCAGCCTCGGCACATCCCAGTCTGGAGACCTACCGAGCAGCAGGTCCGCCACCGTTCGGTCGATCAGACTCCGATTCAGCTGGAACAGTCGCTCGGCCACCAGGGTACAGCACGAGCCGACCGGTTCGATCACCACGTCATCTGGCGGAGACGGACACAGTTCAGCTGCCGTACCGTGCCGCTGGAGGGAGCCACGTTCCAGTTCAGTAAATCCGACACGAGACCGAGTAGGTAGCGTCAAGGTGACACTGACGTCAGCGTGCGAGCTCGACGGCCAAGTTCGAAACGTTTCAACAACAAAGGATTGACTGGACAAATAGCTGGCATCAGACTTAAAACGAAAGTTAAACCTTAGACTAACATAACAGTCAGTTTCCATAACTTCACTATTTTGGCGTCCTGATTGATAAATGCCAGAACTGACCTTAGACGGGCGAGTTCTCCCCAAGCCCCGAGTACGATATATCCGTTCCGAGTCGCCACTAACCGGAGAGCGGCCGGTCGGGCTGGCGGTGGTCCAGCACGTGCACGACACACGGCTGCAGCGGCGCGTCCGGACCGTCCAGACGGTGCCGGTCCACCAGTGTGATGAGCAGACGGCCGGCCCGGTGCAGCGCGGCCAGGTCCAGCTCGGGCCTGTCCCAGACACATACGGCGGTCAGGCGCTAGACACAGGCGGATGGATACCGAACTCACGACGGATTTAGGAAAGCTGACTGATGTAGCGGTACCGACGGACAAAAGGTGATACGAAACAGAGTATAACATCACCCACCTTCTGAGAACAACTCACCTGAACACCAAGTGCTCCTTGCCGATGCCGAGCTTGTGCAGGAAGAAGGTCACCTCCGTCTTCAGTGGGTACTCCTGTTCCGGTATGTTGAGGACGGGCACAAACAGTGTCTCCCGGTCCATCGAGCTCAGCAGGTAGGCGTAGGTGAGAGACGCGGCCGCCGAGTCCAGGTCGCAGGACTCGTTACCAAACACGGCATGGACGCGACCGCCGCCGGCAAACTGCCGGCTCTGCAAACGGCACATACATATCACTGAACGCCCAGATCTGACATCACTGAAGACACACACATCTTGTTGAATGATGCATTGCACAAATTAGTGAATGTAGGTACTGCAACAAGTCACTGTCACTGAACAAGTTGCTGAGTTTGCAATATAAATCTTAAAGGAAAAACATTTGAAATTTGTAAATAAAAATAGAAAGAGGTTTCATGAAACAAACTAATTCCACAGCTTCAGAGAAAATTCAGGAGTAATAACTATCCTGATCTTTATCCCAAACATTACCCACAGCTGGACACAGCAGGACCACAAAATGATAAATCATATAAACAAATAGGCACCTAACCTAACTAGAACACCCCAAAGGCACTTACCACAGCAGCCTTAGAGTCCTTCAGAAATCTCAGCATGCTTCCAGACACAAGTAGCTTCAGAGCCTATAACTAAATCAATTTGAAGTGACAATAATTTTGTTTTGAAAATCATCAGAAACAACTGGCTTCATTTAGAAATCTGAAGCATCTTCAAGGAATGAAAAGCAAGTGGATTCACCAAGAATCACTCACTGAAAACCAAGCAGTATTGAGTCAGGGTACTATAGCCTAATAAGATGTTTGGAGTCATTTCATTAAATATACAAAATATGGAGGCATTATATAATTCTAACTTAATGGATATGTTTGGATATTCCTTTTATTATGTAAAACTGGAATACTTTGTAAACTTATCTATCTGAGGGACTAGCAGTCTAGCATCTATTTCTAACAAGAACACTTGAATGAATTGGTGCTCTCCATAGCACATGAGCAAACTGGAATGAAAAGTACTTACCTACTGGAATTCAAATTGTAATGAAAAGTCTGCAGTTTAACCCTATTAGTGGCAGGCTCCTGGCTACCCCCTATTAGTGGCAGGGGGGGGCTGTTTACGACCCCCCCTTGATATCTCGAGATCTAACGGGCCGATTTTCAAAATTCAAACGGCATTCGATTTCGCTCAACGTGATCTACATTTCTAAAAAAATAAAAATTAAAAAATGTCAATAGGGGGCGGTAGAGGGGGGTAAAAACGGGCAAATTGCAGATACATTTTAGACTGTTTATCACGGCCAGGTTTCTGAACCAATCTTAACGCAACTTTTGCCGATCGATAGAGAATGAACCAGTAATTCACATGGATCCTAAAAATATGCATTTTCAAAAATCATAGGCGGATACAGATCATTGAGATTGGGGGTACACAAAAAGTATAGTAAATAAGGTATTTGTTGGTGCTGTTTCTAAAAAGGGTGGTAATGGTCTTGTTATGTTACAATTTTCTCATGAGAGAACGACTACAATTGTATTGGTCATGCATAGGCGGTGTCAGGGCACCTATGTTGGGAGGTAAAACATAACCCCCCTTTTTGGACGCCTGGATCCGCCTATTATAGCAAAAACGTGTCAAAAGAGGATGCACAATAACTGTATATGTTATCACATAATACCTTTCATCCACTGTTCGTAAAACTGGTGCAGCATCGTGATCTTCGCCCAAATGACTCGTTTCACGAATAGGACCCCCCAATTCCCAGTGCTCTGGAGCCGCCCCTGGTAAAGTTATGAACTTGAAATTTTCAGGGAATGTGCCCAATTTAGTTTTAGGAAAAGTCAGAAAATTTCAGCATCGTAGCTTCAGCGGTTTCGGAGCTATTCCCGAAAAACCTGAGGGGTGGATAAAAACAACCCCCCCCCCCTGCCACTAATAGGGTTAACATAATCAGCTACACAGCAATACACAAATTTGAGTCTACAACTCAGTGCCTAGTTAGGTAGGTACCTGAAAAAGAAAATGACATTCTAAAAAAAAAACAGAATATCGGTGGGTTTGTAGGTTTTAGGTTGTAGGTTAGTGGGTTTGTAGGTTTTAGGTTTGTAGGTTTAAAGTAAACAGTTTGTAGGTGAGTAGGTAAGGCTAGGTCCCTTTATGACTACCCACATCATGGGCCTGTTCCAGCACCTCCAGTAGAAATTCTAGACTGGAGGCTCTACCAGAAGTTTTACTGGAGGCGCAGGAATGCCATTTGGAGATTTCTGGAGGTTAGTGTCAGGGATACCCGAAGAATGATGATGGTTCATTCTTGAAAAAACAAAATTTGTTTAATTTTAGTAAGAAAGATTAGGCAATTGAAATAACTTTATAATAAATAACTTTCTGTACCTTCAATTTGTAAAATTAATGGTCAAAGATCCGTTAATTACATTCATATTTGTCACATGTGTGCCATAATTGTAGACCAGAGCCTCCAGTAAACCAACAGAGAAAGACCTTACCAGTCGGGGAAACTATGGTAAAATCTGCTATTTTTAGCAGTCTGCTATTTTTAGCAGAAATCTGCTAAAAATGGGTACGCATGTGACGTCATCGTACCCAAATATAGCAGATTTGGGTACGGCCCCATACAAAAGCAGATCTGCACCCTAATTGAAGCAAATGCGCATCAAATGCCTGGCAGATTCATGATGAGAATAGTGCTGAGAGTGATTCCTGCTATTTTTGTTCAGATCCGACTATTTTCAAATTCATTATTTGAAAATAGTCGGATCTGAACAAAAATATCAGAGGACATTCTCAGCACTATTCTAATCATGAATCTGCCAGGCATTTGATGCGCATTTGCTTCAATTAGGGTGCAGATCTGCTTTTGTATGGGGCCGTACCCAAATCTGCTATATTTGGGTACGATGACGTCACATGCGTACCCATTTTTAGCAGATTTCTGCTAAAAATAGCAGACTGCTAAAAATAGCAGATTTTACGATAGTTTCCCCGACTGTTACATCTGGAGGCTACTGGAGGTTTCTGGAGCTTCGGCAAGAGCTTTCTGGAGCTTTCTGGAGGTGCTGGAATGCCCTCTGGAGAATTCTAGAGCAATTTCTAAAGCTTTCTGGAGGTTTCTGGAGGCACTGGAACAGGCCATGTTTGTCCTAGGCTAGGTCAGCTCAGCATGTGTGACATTAGGATATTGCACCTGGCACTTTTTAATCACATTGTTTATTTACAGTAAAATACACTCAGAGATATAGTAAAACTGCTCTGTGCCGATTTTCCAGCCCAACAGATCAGGGCAACCTCTATAACATGTGGTGCACTGCAGTCAGAGGCGGATCCAGCTCAGAGTTTTGGGGGGGCCAACCATAAAAATTTATCGATCCTTTCCATGCATCGTCCATAAGCGTTATGTTAAAATTATGCTGTTTGGGGGGGGGCAAATCACTGGCAAATGCCCATTTTGCCCCCCCCCTGGATCTGCCACTGGGTGCAGTAATAGAGCTTCCAGCTCGTGTGCAATGCGGCGCAGGCCAGCCGACTGGCGGTAGCCGTCAACCAGAGCACGCTTGACGCACAGCCATCTCCTCTGGGAAGTTGAGGGGCGCATGCGGCGCCCTGGGGCAGAACAGATCGCTACTCTGAGACATGACCGGTAGAGCAAATAATCATACCAACATATACACTGCCTATTGACACAGTCTCATAGGAAGGTCAAGCTCAATATTCATGTTAATACAAGTCTTCGATTTTACTTGCAATTTCGTTAGGTATGTAGGTAGGTAGGTACTAACGTCTATTTTTTACGTCCAATCGTCCCTAGATCCTTTGTCAGCTACAATGACACTCTACCAGCATACATCAACATCTGGACATTGCCCATGTAAAATAAAAATAGAACAAACTGCAACAAACAATTATGACATAGGATCGACGGATATACGGGCACAAATAAAATAAAAAAACACACACATTTGATGAAGCGCAACAACGCGTCGCAGAATCAAGGTTCTCTATATTTACAAATCGCACAATCAAGGACGTCTGTCAATTCAGCAGCAACGAATATCAGCCTCACAGCAGCATATTTCGGGGTCTTTCGATTTGGCTGAAAATCGGTATACAGGGCCTCCTTGATGCGCTGATTCCGAAAATGTACCTCTTTGGGGTGGTATTTTGCACCGTTAACGAGTTAACGACCAATTAACATTTTAACGGGAAACGGTGGGGTCTTTCGATTTGGCTGAAAATCGGTATACAGGGCCTCCTTGATGCGCTGATTCCGAAAATGTAACTCCTTGGGGTGGTATTTTGCACCGTTAACGAGTTAAAGGCCAGTTAACATTTTAACGGGAAACAGTGGGGTCTTTCGATTTGGCTGAAAATCGGTGTCCAGAGCCTTCTCGATGCGCTGATTCCGAAAATGTACCTCTTTGGGGTGGTATTTTGCACCGTTAACGAGTTAACGACCAATTAACATTTTAACGGGAAACGGCGGGGTCTTTCGATTTGGGTGAGAATCAGTATACAGGGCCTTCTCGATGGGCTGATTTCGAAAATGTGCCTCTTTGGGGTGGTATTTTGCATCGTTAACGAGTTAACGATCCGTTAACATTTCAGCAGCATATATCGATTTCAGCTGCAAATTTTCGGGGTCTTTCCATTTGGCTTAAAATCGGTATACAGGGGCTCCTCGATGCGCTGATTCCGAAAATGAGCCTCTTTAGGGTGTTATTTTGCACCGTTAACGAGTGAACGATCAATTAACATTTTAACGGGAAACAGCGGGGTCTTTCGATTTGGCTGAAAATCGGTATACAGGGCCTCCTCGATGCGCTGATTACGAAAATGTACCTCTTTGGGGTGGTATTTTGCACCGTTAACGAGTTAACGGCCAATTAACATTTTAACGGGAAACGGCGGGGTCTTTCGATTTGGCTAAAATCGCTATACAGGGCCTCCTTGATGCACTGATTCCGAAAATGCACCTCTTTGGGATGGTATTTTGCACTGTTAACGAGTTAACGACCAATTAACATTTTAACGGCAAACGGCGGGGTATTTCGATTTGGCTGAAAATCGGTATACAGGGCCTCCTCGATGCGCTGATTCCGAAAATGTATCTCTTTGGGGTGGTATTTTGCACCGTTAACGAGTTAACGACCAATTAACATTTTAACGGGAAACGGCGGGGTCTTTCGATTTGGCTGAAAATCGGTATACAGGGCCTCCTCGATGCGCTGATTCCGAAAATGTACCTCTTTTGGGTGGTATTTTGCACCGTTAACGAGTTAACAGCCAATTAACATTTTAACGGGATAAAGCGGGGTCTTTCGATTTAGCTGCAAATCGGTGTACAGGGCCTTCTCGATGCGCTGATTTCGAAAATGTGCCTCTTTGGGGTGGTATTTTGCATCGTTAACGAGTTAACGATCCGTTAACATTTCAGCAGCATAAATCGATTTCAGCAGCAAATTTTCGGGGTCGGCGAAACGGCGGGGTCCTTCGATTTAGCTGAAAATCGGTATACAGGGCCTCCTGCTGAAATTTTAATGGATCGTTAACTCGTTAACGGTGCAAAATACCACCCTAAAGAGCTACATTTTCGTAATCAGCGCATCGAGGAGGCCCTGTGTACTGATTTTCAACCAAATCGAAAGACCCCGCCGTGTCCCGTTAAAATGTTACTTGGTCGTTAACTCGTTACCGGTGCCACATACCACCCAAAAGAGGTACATTTTCGGAATCAGTGCATCAAGGAGGCCCTGTATACCGATTTTCAGCCAAATCGAAAGACCCCGAAAATTTGCTGCTGGATTCGATATATGCTGCTGAAATGTTAACGTATCGTTAACTCGTTAACGGTGCAAAATACCACCCCAAAGAGGCACATTTTCGAAATCAGCGCATCGAGGAGGCCATGTATATCGGTTTTCAGCCAAATCGAAAGACCCCGCCGTATCCCGTAAAAATGTTATTTGGTCGTTAACTCGTTAACTGTGCAAAATACCAACCTAAAGAGGTACATTTTCGTTATCAGCGCATCGAGGAAGCCCTTTATACTGATTTTCAGCCAAATCGAAAGACCCCGCCGTTTCCCGTTAAAATGTTATTTGGTCGTTAACTCGTTAACGGTGCAAAATACCACCCCAAAGAGGTACATTTTCGGAATCAGCGCATTGAGAAGGCCCTGTACACCGATTTTCAGCCAAATCGAAAGACCCCGCCGTTTCCCGTTAAAATGTTAATTTGCCGTTAAGTCGTTAACGATGCAAAATACCACCCCAAAGAGGTACATTTTCGGAATCAGCGCATCGAGGAGGCCCTGTACACCGATTTTCAACCAAATCGAAAGACACCGAAAATTTGCTGCTGAAATTGATATATGCTGCGGAAATGTTAACGGATCGTTAACTCATTAACGGTGCAAAATACCATCCCAAAGAGGTACATTTTCGGAATCAGCGCATCGAGGAGGCCCTGTACACCGATTTTCAGCCAAATCGAAAGACCCCGCCGTTTCCCGTTAAAATGTTAATTGGCTGTTAACTCGTTAACGGTGCAAAATACCACCCCAAAGAGGTACATTTTTGGAATCAGCGCATCGAGGAGGCCCTGTACACCGATTTTCAGCCAAATCGAAAGACCCCGCCGTTTCCCGTTAAAATGTTAATTGGCCGTTAACTCGTTAACGGTGCAAAATACTACCCTAAAGAGGTACATTTTCGGAATCAGCGAATCGAGGAGGCCCTGTATACCGATTTTCAGGCAAATCGAAAGACCCCACCGTTTCCCGTTAAAATGTTAATTGGTCGTTAACTCGTTAACGGTGCATAATACCACCCCAAAAAGGTACATTTTCGGAATCATCGCATCGAGGAGGCCCTGTATACCGATTTTCAGTCAAATCGAAACACCCCGAAAATTTGCTGCTGAAATCGATATCATATATGCCGCTGAAATGTTAACGGATCGTTAACTCGTTAACGGTGCAAAATACCACCCCAAAGAGATACATTTTCGGGATCAGCGCATCGAGGAGGCCCTGTATACCGATTTTCAGGAAAATCGAAAGACCCCGCCGTTTCCCGTTAAAATGTTAATCGGTCGTTAACTCGTTAACGGTGTAAAATACCACCCCAATGAGGTACATTTTCGGAATCAGCGCATCGAGAAGGCCCTGTACACTGATTTTCAGCCAAATCGAAAGACCCCGCCGTTTCCCGTTAAAATGTTAATTGGCCGTTAACTCGTTAACAGTGCAAAATACCACCTCAAAGAGGCACATTTTCGAAATCAGCGCATCGAGGAGGAACTGTATATCGGTTTTCAGCCAAATCGAAAGACCCTGCCGTTTCCCGTTAAAATGTTATTTGGTCGTTAACTCGTTAACGGTGCAAAATACCACCCCAAAGAGGTACATTTTCGGAATCAGCGCATCGAGGAGGCCCTGTATACCGATTTTCAGCCAAATCGAAAGACCCCGAAATATGCTGCTGTGAGGCTGATATTCGTTGCTGCTGAATTGATAGACGTCAATCAAGGCCATGGTATACTAAATTTTTAGTCCCCGTCAAAAATTGCAACTAGAGGTGTGGCAACCATAGAGGTGGTAACAAGGCAATGCATGGTGACGGTGTGCGGGACTGTGGCAGCAAGGAATGGATCAGCGACGCACCAGAGGAGGGATCCTAGGGGTTCCAGGGCCCCTGAAGCAAGATAACTTTACTCCCTGAAGCACATTTACCTACTATTTTCTGCTCGAAAAGAAATTGAAATAGCTTCATGGACAGACGCACAATACCGATTCCTTTGTAAGGGACAAAATCAATCGCGACGTTTGTGTGTGACTTGCGTGTGCGTGTGGAGCAGCAGGCCGGGAAACAGCAAGAGTGCGTTAACCCTCGCCGGCCGAGGGGGGGGGGGGGGGCGGGGCGGGTGCCGCCCCCCCCCCATAGGTTTTTTTCGCGATAGCTCTGAACACGCTGGCGATAGTGAGCTGAAACTTGGCATACCTGACCTTTGATTCAAGCCCAATCTTTTGACATCAACCGCATTTTTGGGTCAGGTCAGGTCAGGTCACTGACCTATGACGTCATAAGTGAACCTCTGCACGGTCTTCAGATGTCGCAACTTCGCAACGCCCTAACTGCCAGAGGAGATGTCACAGGGAAATGAAACTTGCAGGATCTAGTATCCATTATGAGTTCCACAACTTGTATATCTCGGATTTTTCCTAAAGGTCATATGAGGTCAGGTCATTTTCGTGACCTCACCATTTCTTGGGGAAAAATTCAAACTGCTATTCTGGCGCCGGGAACGATCTACAACTATCTCAAGCACACAGAATCGTGATTTGATGCACTCATTGCAAGGTTAGATGCGTCACTTTTGCAATGTTGACCTTGCGTGACGTCATTTATGACGTCATCAAGGTCATATTAGTTTTTCGTCAATAACTCTTGATCAGATTGAGCTAGCGAGTCGGGGAAGCCACCAATGGACTCAGGAAGACCTGCCGAATCGAATGATATGCGACATGACCTCTTTCGACCAACTTCGTGACCTTAGGGTGCTGACCTGACCTTGACCTGAGGTCAACACCTCAAGTTGACCTGACCCAAACAAAAAGTATATCATTCGACGCGCCTGAGCGAGGCGAACACGATGCTGCCAAAATCGCGGCTCTGCGGCCGTTTTTTGCGAAGTTATTCACCAAAAACTGAACCTTACCCTGGGGCACTTGACCTGACCTCAGAGGTCACCGGTTGACCTAGGACCTTAAAATTGGGTACCAATCTCTGCATCTCGTAACGGCGCACACGCTCGTTTTTTTCCGCGACGCGCTAGCTCCACCAGGGGCGAAACGGCGAGGGGGGGTCGTACCCGCCCCCCCCCCCCCTCGGCCGGCGCGTATGTAGAAAACCAATAGGTCCGGCGAGGGTTAAAGGCTTGTCTACCGTATGGCTGCCTCCGACGGAGAAGGCGTGCCTGGGCGTGCCGGCGCCGAGTGAAATGCGGCGGCTTGCCGGCACCTGGGGCTCGCGTGTCCGTCTCTCGGGGCTTTGCCTGTGCGGTGACGTCGGGGCAGCATCTTTCAGGAAACGAATTACCCCCCCCCCCCCCCCCAAAAAAAAAAAACGCCGAAGTCCCGACCCCGTCCTGGATTTCCTTTGGCACTCGGCTCGCCACAAATAGCTATACCTACCTACTGCAGGTATTTATCTAGCAGGACAATTCCGTCTAAATTGTGTTGGGTTTGGGTATATGTACCAGGTAGCTCAATAAAAACGTTCCTAACTTTTAAGTCTCACCATTTTAACCCGCGCCCCACTGGGCTCTTCATAGCCCCCCCCCCCCCTCCTAACTCCGAAACTACTGGGCCGATCGTCAAAATTCAAACGGCGTCGTCTGATAGCCCCGGAAAAACTGTCGAGCGAAACCTAATTTCATTGACCTCGAGGTCACCGATGACGTCAGAGGTCAGGTCAATGTAAAAATTATTAGCATTTTGGCTTGTTCACATTTTGGGCTCTGGCCGCCGTCTTACAAGTCAGATCAGGCTCATTTTTGGTTTACACACTCATGAACAGATACTTTAGATACCCTGAGGGTTCTAAACTTGTACTTTGATTTTCAGGTCAGGGTCAGGTCATCACAGGTCACGGAAATATTATATCATGCGTCGGTCACATGACACATGTTTTATGGTCCATTTCAGTGATACGATTCCTAGCTATCCAGGGCTAACCGGCGGCTAACATCCACGCCAACTTCGTGAATGTGTACGGGAGTCATGCTCTGTATTTCTGTATTTCTGTATTTGCGCAAATCACCATTCTTAATAATTCTGCAGTTCGGAAGTGGAAGAAAACGTTTGGGGAGGGGAGGGAGAGCGTGCGCGACCTGGCAAGTGCAGGCAGGCTGAGGACGATGGTCACAGCCACTAACGTCGCCAAAGTGGAGGAGATGGTGATGGCCAGCTGAAAGATTACTGTCCAGGCGATAACAGAAAGCCTATAAACATAAGCCTACGCCAGTGACTATTGGCTGCTCGCAGTCCGCAGACATGAAGAAAAATATCCGGGGCCGGAGGTTCGGCTCGCGGTCTGCACTCGGGTCTGCTATTTACCAGTATGGCGAAAAGACCCTCACTCAAAGCCTCCGTGCGGCCATTCAGGACCTGGCCAAGCGATGGGACCGATGCGTTCGCCTGCAGGGCGAGTTCGTCGAGCCGTGAGCCATGTCTGGTTGAGATGTGCCAAAAAATAAACGAGTTATATCAAAACGGAACTTACTTTTTTCCGTATTTATTATCAAATCAACAAATTATTGCGTGCCCAGACAGTGAGCGACACGAAGCGATAATGCACATCAACGCTACGTCATCGTTACACTTCAGCTCTCTCACTCCCATCCCCCATCCCTCCCCTCCCTAACTGGCTCTGGGTCGCCGCAGTAGATTTAAAACGGAACCACCCTTCCTCACGAACAGCAGTAACAGTTCAATAAGTAAGCAGGCTCAGGATAAGAAAACACATTTTACAAAACCACTCCAAGTACGCGGCTTACATCCTTACGCTGGTGGTGGTATGTCGAAAAAATATTGTTTTGATGACTGTTATTAATAACTTGTTTTGTAAACACCAATCTACCTATTGGGTTCACAGAAAATAACGCGGGCGCGCAATAAGGAGACCGAGCGCAGATTGGGCACTCTCCCCTAACAGCCGTTTTCACGACGGGCTATCTGGCGAACGCACCTGATTTGGCCAAATCTGCACCTAGTCTCTTTTATACAAATATCTTCATTCTTCATATCATGAATTTATTTCAGTGTTTTAATCGAAAATAATGTCTGATAATTTGAAAAATGATGTCTTTAAGCATCTGTGCACTCCAAGCGGACAACTTTTAAGAAACACAATGAACCTTATTTTGACCAAATCAAATCTGCACCAAATTTGCACCTAATCTGAACCAAATGTGTACCAGATAGCCGTCGTGAAAACAGTACATACAGGGTGAGCCATAAAGATTTACCCATCGAAAATTTCACTTTGTCTTAACTCTCAAGGCGCGCTGACATAGCCATGTCATCTTTTACATTCATATAACAACTTTATCTCCTAACTAATAAATGTAGTCTGTTTTCTGTATGCTCGCATTCTTCTTATGTTACGCGCCCGAGACGCGAGAGCACTATGGCACGCGGCCGCCGCACCGTCGTTTCAATTATTTTCCTCTATCATCCACGCTATAACAATGCTGCGCCGTATGTCATCTGCGGTGTTTCAGGGACTAGGTAGAGTAGGGTTTTCAGGATATTTCAGTTTGCGAAGCCCGTGGGGCTGAAGTCGGGAATAAATTGTGCCCAGCATTTTTAAGACCAAGGAGTGTTCAGCAGCCAACACCCAGTGGTGATTACTGAATTTCAGGAGCGGCGGATGCCGCGTTAAGACGATCGAACATTTCAGGAGCGTCAGGAGCGTAGCAGAGACAGTGGACGAGCATATACAAAATGAGTACACTGTCAGGATTGGAGACAAGTTTGCGACATACCTATATGCAGAAGATGGCATACCTACGCCAACCCGTTTGAAAATAAAGTGAAATTTTCGATGGGTAAATCTTTATGGCTCACCCATCAGCCACCCATCAGCCCCGCGGCGCGAAGGGCATATGTGAGTATGCGTTTTTGAGTGTGATATGATTGGCGTACCGGTGCGTGCGTTTTGACTGGTGATTCTAAAATAAAACGTAATGTAATGTGAGCAAAAATTGTCATTGGGCATGACATGTGCCGGGCTGCCCTGGTGGCGGGCTGCCCTGGTGGCAGACGAGGCAGTATACAGGGTCCGGCATAAATTTTGTCCTCTCAAAACGTGTGCTCTCCGAACGCTGCTATACATATAAGAGGTAACGATTATTTTTAGTGCTCAGCGTATTCCCCACGGACACAGATTCAACGAACAGCGTTTTTTTTTTCAACTTAGCAATCGCTGGCGATCAGGACGGGCGAGGGTTATTGGATATGTACCACATAGTGCGAAAAGCATCGGTCGATAGCCACCGTCACTTGTTACCGGAGCCTACTGCTTCCCCTAGCTCCGCCTTCCATCGAACACGTGACATAAACTTGTGCGAGCCGCGCCGAACTTCTGTGCCCGCAAGCAATAAAAGCCGACTCACAGGTCCGGGCAGTACAGAGACGGAGACAGAGACAGGCGCAGGCGTCTCACAGAACCTGCTCCAGAGGTGGACAGAGATAGGGTCGGTGCCGTCTAAAGGTGAGCTGTCATTCTTGAAGTCCCACCTAAAATGTCTAGCGAACTATTAGACATCCGTCAGCCAATAGTATATTAGGTAATCCCCATTCCCCATTCGCAAATCGCAACTATACCCTCTACTGTTTGCGGGTTATGAGGATGCTCCCTACTTATAGGTATGTCTACGGATACCGGCATAAGATGATACCAACTTTATTTCCAGCCCCGGGATTGCAGCGTAAAAAATGAAATAGACACGAAATAGATTAGTCGGTTTGTGCAAGTTCAACTGTGAGACACAGTCATTACCGAATAAATAACTACCACTATATACCGAACCTAGTGAATGCTGAAGGCTTTGTAAACCCTGAACACCTAAAAACCTACCTAATAACACCTTATAAGCCTTTATGGGGCAGTTGTAGTTCTTTACCCTGGCTTCTGCTGATTGCTATCCGTCCCGCCACATCTACAGTTAACCCTCGCCGGCCGAGGGGGGGGGGCCCCCATAGGGTTTTTTTTTCGCGATAGCTCCGAACACGCTGGCGATAGAGAGCTGAAACTTGGCATACCTGACCTTTGATCCAAGCCGGATCTTTTCACACCAACCGCATTTTTGGGTCAGGTCAGGTCACTGACCTATGACGTCATAAGTGAACCTCTGCACGGTCTTCAGATGTCGCAACTTTGCAACGCCCTCACTGCCAGAGGAGATGTCACAGGGAAATGAAACTTGCAGGATCTAGTATCCATTATGAGTCCCACAACTTGTATATCTCGGATTTTTCCTAAAGGTCATATGAGGTCAGGTCATTTTCGTGACCTCACCATTATAAGTCAATGGGGAAAAATGAAAACTGCTATTCTGGCGCCGGGAACGATCTCCAACTATCTCAAGCACACAGAATCGTGATTTTATGCACTCCTTGCAAGGTTAGATGCGTCGCTTTTGCAATGTTGACCTTGCGTGACGTCATTTATGACGTCATCAAGGTCATATTAGTTTTTCGTAAATAACTCTTGATCAAATTGAGCTAGCGAGTCGGGAAAGCCACCAATGGACTCAGAAAGACCTGCCGAATCGAATGATATGCGACATGACCTCTTTCGACCTACTTCGTGACCTGGGGGTGCTGACCTGACCTTGACCTGAGGTCAACACCCCAAGTTGACCTGACCCGGACAAAAAGTATATCATTCGACGCGCCTGAGCGAGACGAGCACGATGCTGCCAAAATCGGCGCTCTGCGGCCGTTTTTTGCGAAGTTATTCACCAAAAACTGAGCCGTACCTTGGGGCACTTGACCTGACCTCAGAGGTCACCGGTTGACCTAGGACCTTAAAATCGGGTACCAATCTCTGCGTCTCGTAACGGCGCACACGCTCGTTTTTTCCGCGACGCGCTAGCTTCACCAGGGGCGAAACGGCGAGGGGGGGGTCGTACCCGCCCCCCCCCCCCCTCGGCCGGCGCGTATGTAGAAAACCAATAGGTCCGGCGAGGGTTAATGTTGAAATATGCCTAAAAATCATCCACGTGATCTATTAATGTGTTAAGGTCGATAACAGCAGCATCTTTTATGTGGATATGCTAAATGAAAAGCTTTATATTATTCAGCCTCCAATCGAAGACGCGATGCTTATATTCCTTCCAATAGGTGGCGCCAGTAGTAAACGCCTGCGTGTTATGCTGTACCGCATGTCACTGACAATGCTGACGCTGCGCGGCTGGACGAACGCTGACCATCGTGATCGAGCTCATCGTTAGACGTCAACAAGTTTTATCTGAGATCTCCCAGAATCTCTTTGGATAAGAACGTTTGAACTTAGGTACTGTCTCCTAAGTGCGTGAGGAAAACGTCTTTGCTCATGACATGCCGACATGACTTTATACCTAACCTATGTCCTCGCTGAATTAGATGTCGTAAGTATCAATACATTTTAATTGTCCTATTTAAACATCATAACCTGAGTAGCATAACATAGACACAATCTGAACTTATTACAGACAAAATGGTGGTTCTCGGCGAGGTATTTCCAAACTTCGAGGCGGAGTCTACCGAGGGGCACATTCGATTTCACGACTTCATCCGTGGATCGTAAGTACCTACCTACCTAGTGCCGATGTACCAAAGGCAACCTTTGAACTTGAAAAGAATAGGTAAAGTCATATTATTCCTTTGGTGAAGAATGACATCCATGCTTGTGAATATTTCGGTGACATCTGACAGTTCTTAGTTCATAGGTAGATATCGGGAAAACTATAATAATTCAATTAAAAGTTACTAGTCGCTTTACCCTCCTTCAAAAAAGTCAAACAGGAGGTATGAATTATTCCTTTTTAATCATCAGACAGATGCTAGGCTTATCATGATTATTTATGACTTATACCCGATACGTACGGAAAATAATTTTACTACAGTGACATAGACGGTGACCAAATAATGCACACCAAACTAAAACCACGTCTTCTAAGTAGGACGTTTAGTAAAGAAACCCAGGTATTCCATATCAGCCAGCTACAATGCAGCTACGTGCATTGACGGCTATATCTGCCGAACCGCTGTGCAGCTGGTGCATCCTGCTGGCGCACCCCTCCGACTTCACGCCGGTCTGCACTACCGAGATGGGCGCCGCGGCCAAAATGGCGCCGGCACTGCTCCGGCGCGGCGTCAAAATGGCCTGCATCTCCTGCGACCCCGTCTCGTCACACAAGTGAGTGCAGCTGAAATTTAGCAGACCCGTCTATCTAAAGGAACCGTTTAACCATCGTGCGGACAGAAAGTGTTGCAACCCCAAAGCCTTTTTCGCGGATAAAATAAAAACGGGTGCATGGGTCACTATACATATTTCATGGAAAGTTCAAGTCCCGTTGGCCTTAGGTCAGGTCACCAGGTCACAAAACTACCGTACATTATTGGGTCAAATGTAAACTTTATTTTTGCACTCATCCAGCTCAGAGTGAGGCCAGATGTTCCTCAAACTTCGTGGTGAGCATCTCATCGAGTTTGGCATAGTTATTTCGTTTTTCAATGTTGTTGACCTGAGGTCAGCTAGAAGTCAGGAATCGTAACGCGGTTGCTTGTGCCGTTCAGTTCAGGCGCCCTAGCAACACCCCATGCCCGTTTCGGCAGGACGTGGATCGAGGACATCCGCGCGTACAACGGGCTCGGCTCCGGCCCGTTTCCGTTTCCCATCATCTCGGACGAGGAGCGCCAGCTGGCCAAAAAGCTGGGCATGATCGACCCCGACGAGCCGCGCTTCGACAACAAGCCGGCCACCGCGCGTGCGGTGTTCATCATCGGGCCCGACTTGCGGCTCAAGCTCTCCATGCTCTACCCGGGCACCACCGGCAGGAACTTTGCGTAAGTGCACAGTTGGAGGGGGCGGCGGCAGGGGGCAGGTGCACGGGTGGTATATATGAGGACGAGAGCTAGGGCCACAGCGGGAGTCGGGAAGGGAGGAACGGGTAAGCCGCGATATTGGAAGAGTTCGGTCGGCAGATGACCCGGAATCCAGGGCTGAAATTTAATAATCTCATTTGGCATTTAGCCGGGAATCAGCCGAACATAGCAGGCATTCCGCAGGACGGTAGGAAGACATTCTTCTAAAAACAGGGATTAGTGATCAGCATGGGGCACCACATTTGTACATAAACACAAGTTCCTATTATCATCTCACAAGAGTGAAAACTATGCCAGCGCAGTGCCTCATGATCTCATATTAACACGGATTTGTAGAGGATGTGAACGTTGCGCGGACATGCCGCACAGCAGGCTCCCGTCACCAAGTTTGCTTATTCGGACACTCATATCCCTCTGTCCGACCGCCGACGGGCAACCAGCTGAGACAGCTTTTAATTTGCCTTGAATAGTTGGCCGTCAATTAACCGATCTCGTGCTGCGTTCTGTACGTGAGGGACAGTCTCTCGCCATACGCCCTTGCTCTCGCCTTTCCCCGTCGGCGGCCTACAGGATATGAACGATATGAGCTCTTATTGATCGCTGACCGCTTCCAGGGAGATCCAGCGCATCATGGAGTCCCTGCTGGTCACTGCCAAACACAAGGTGGTCACACCGGAGCAGTGGCAGGTGAGAAGACACCACTGAGGCGCCTTGCAAACTGACCGCTCTCTGATATTACGAACAAGGTATAGGGTTTTTAGAGAAAAAAGGAAGCTAAAATAGGGGAGATGCTCCCAGCTTACGCTTCGGTAAAAACTTAAGTTAAGCATGATTTTACGTTACATTTCCCGGCGAATACTTTCATTCTGCATTGTAATTCACGATTCTGTTTATTTCTTCCACCAATCCGTCTCCAACTCCTGGTTTCGTCCTTGGTAGACGAGACGGCCTATACGCCGCAAACCCGTATCTGAGGAGCAGGCTCCCGTCGAGGAGCCTGAACACAGAAATACCAGACGGGCGTGGTAAGTGGTGCACACACACACACACACACACACATACATGCACGCAACTCTGCCACCTTTGCTTAGCCGCCGTACGTAGCCAGCTCATGACTACCAGCTCTCCGGGATAGTGTTCATACCTACAGCTGGAGGTGGAAATGGAAAGCGTCGTATAGGTACTAGTGTATATTCATCTGATTTCTAAACTCATACGGCACCTTGATATACTCTTAGTTTTGCCCGGTCCTTAGAAGGAAATGTGGTATACGAAGGTCACTTGAATCACATTGCCATTGAAGTATCATCATAAGTCAAGCCCACTCTGACTTGCGAGCCTCCTGTGACAGAGTGCCATTGTGTTCCAGGTTGGCGAAAAGTGTTTCGTGGTGCCGTTCCTGAGCATGGAGGAGGCCAAGGACATGTTCCCGGCCGGCGTGCAGGTGCACCCGGTGCCCTCCGGCAAACAGTACCTGCGCACTACACCCATGCCCAACTAATCCAGCCCGGCAGCAACGGACCCGAGACGGAAACGGATACTGATAATGGCGGGATAGCGAGTATGTTTCTGCTAACTATTGACGCAGTGAGATGTATGTGAGGTAGTGAGAGCCTCAAACGCTGATCCCAGTAGCATTCGCAGAGGGAAATTCAATGGAAACTGAATGCGCTCCCTGTTGTATGTTCGTGTGCTTTGTTTCTCGCGGTTTTATTGCGTAGTTCGTAAATCAAATAGGGAACGTCAAGCAACCGATTTTAGCACTTTACTCTGACAGTCCTATTTCGGAGGCACGGGTGCGTTTGCTTGCAACTTATGACTCGTCTTCTTATCCTTTTGGATGTTCTTTTGGAGACGATCCCCACAATGTGTAAATAAATGTTGCAAAGCCATGTGGTGGTATGACATCGCACAAAACCGGATCAAAAGTAACGGATCATTTGTATTTAATTTTGTACACATCGTCATACATTCGAAAGAGTAGAGCACACACGTCAATTATATGACTTCTGCTGTCTCCAGTATGAAAACAAGGAGAAAACATTCAACGACCCACAAAGAGAGAATCTCAATTAATTCACCGACTTCAGCAGCAACACACATCCACATGCATACATAGGCAAGCACACAATTCCTAGCTCTTAGATACACACCTTACACATCCAAGCACAGGCGCAACTTTCGAATCGGTCACGTCCACACGACATGGGCAACGATGACTCGCGCGTCCCCAGCACACCACAAATCCGTGCAACGGCTCGCACAGACACACGGAACGGTCAGCAGGAGGTCCCAACCAGCGTGCCTGGCTCCAGCGCCAGGCATCTCGGGTCGTCAGCAGCACCCACTCACGTATCTGACCCATCAGTTTGACGAGAAGCAGCGCAGGGAAACTCACTGCAGCCGCGGCCGAACTGATGTGGAGATCCTTGAGGATAGGTGCGATCGTCCGATCCAGTCCGTGAGATGTCAACGCGACATCGCGGCAACGGACAGGTTCTTTGCGAGAGCACCAGCCACACACGCATCTAAGCTTTGCTAGACGCCGCGTTTCCACTTGTCCGCTGTGGTGTAAGAGGTCATTGGCCTGCCTCCGATGCCACATGTTCCGACGCCCACTTTGCCGTTCACAGCCTCCGGCGTTTTGAAGATGGACGACTTGGTGTAGCCTTTGATATTCTTCTTCTTGCTTACCTGTAGATACAAATGTTGTGATTATTTTGCAACAGATGTCGATGGTAGAAGATTATTAACAACATTTGAATGCTTGATGATCCGCCCTGACAGGATAAACCGGGAATGGACACACAGGTAAGACAACAAAAAAATACGCTTGCAAAAATTACCTTGGTGTTGAACTGTTGCCACTTGCTCTTCTCTTGTTCGCGAACCTCCTCCATCTCCTTAAAACGCTGTACCTTCTTCTGCTTCTTGCGCTTCAAGTACTCTTGCTGGTTACGGTTTGTCTTCCGCCTGAAATCAAACGTTGTACATACGTACGTTAATGTCAACATAATATCAACTCCTACATCTCATCAACCACTCATGCCGGTGCATCCGGTCTAGAGACCGACAAGAGTAGGCCGGTACATTGTCTCGATATTGGGGGGAACAAAACACATGGGGCACCAGACAATGACACCGTTGTAGTGGAAACAAATACGGTCGGGATTCTGGGCGTTGGTGCCGGAAAGTCGGTGTCTTCTCCCAGGCATCTTCAGGCTTCGGTAGGCACCGGGAAGGCGGGTCGTGTTCGTGCGCCTGGAAGGGAGACTACACCTGAATGGAATGTAGCGACACCGATGGCACAACATATCTACTTTAAATTCTTACAAGAGCAATGGCCGCAAGTATAACGTCACTTGAAATACGTCTACAGGCAGGCTATTCCTTTATAGATCAATATGTTAACAAATGTCATACTTTACAGCAATCAGTTATAGGCACTGTGAAAAAGACAACGATGGACACGACATTCTTCCTAACAGCTATAGCAGAAAGAGAATAAAGGGGGCGATACGGACAGTACAGATACAAAATGGACTCAAAATCCACTGTACGGTTGTCCAGCGTCGTCAAAATCGGCGGTTTGGTGTGCGACAGCCACCTACGGCTTACAGCCGTTTTCACGGCCCTGAAACACTGCAGAGGTCGCAGTTGGGTGAGTTATCACCAGTCTACCACAACGCTGCCCGCGAAATCACCTTCACCTTTATACGTAACGCAATCAACATCGTTCTCGAATGTTACCTGCCAAGACGCAGACAGATACGATTCAAGCTGGCTCAGACATATTGGCCTTCCAAATAATGGAACATGAAATGTGAACGGGACAATGCTTCTAAGCGCGCAAGTAACAAAGCTTTACCATTTTTCCAGCTTCACTCATCTAGTTTTCGTCCCTTAAAATGTGCCTAATAAAAGCGCCCTGAATGGTACGTTCCAGATGCGCATAACAGATATCCTTCCGACGTCGCCCCCGTTCCGGGCTCCTGCAGCTGACTCACCCTGACTTGGAGGTCTCGGCGCCGTCCTCGGCCTTGGGCTGCTCGGGCAGCGGGTCGCGGAGCAGCGCCAGCCGCGTCACCTCGGCCGTCTTGAAGCCGACAAAGTGGATCATCACCTGTCCGTCCGAGGTCACCTCGTCCACCAGCGCGTTGTAGTACCTGTCGGTGCGGCGACCAAGTCAGTGACACTGTTCTTCAATGCATAAGACACAACTCGTAAGAGACAGAATGCTATGGCTAAGAGGAAATCATCAGCATTTGATTGAGAAGTGTTGTTTTTGGCCATGTATCTGTCGCCATATAACAGCAGAAATTTCATTGGACGTCCGAGGACCGACAAGTAACAAACACCACCCCGAGGCCCGAGATGTTGACACCGAGAACGTCCGTAGTGGTTCCATGAGAGGCACTTACTGTCCATCCTCCGACCAGATGGCTGAGCATTTGTCGCCGACCTCCCAGTCGCGGATCGGCTCCTGAACCTCAGAGGAATCTGCAAACATCGCCATACCCGTCATGCGTAGAAAAAGGACAGCAAAGATAGACATATTGACATCGGTAAAAACAAACACGAGCCGGTAATCGGAAGCTCATGTCGTAGTTCTACCTAATAATACCAAACAGGTCTATCCAAAGAGGTAAAGTTGCTGATTCAAATCATTTTCATACTTAAATTGGCAAAATATCTGCTTGTGAAAGTTTTCAACCTAATGCCTATAACTATAAATGTTTTGAAAATCCGAGGAGAATTACGATAATTGTCAACATTGAGAAGAATAACAGACAATATCAAGAACAGCTCTTTACCAAATTTATCAGTATGGTGACTCAGAATGTCACCGGAAATGAAGACAACGTCCCTACCTTGCGACGTCGAAGAACCCGGAGCTTGAGCGCGGATAAGATCCGTCGTGAGCTCAATAACCTCTAGCAAATCCTTCTTCAACTTCAACAATTCATCATCTGACGGATTATTTGTGAGAGCAGCCTCTACCTATAAACAAAAAGAACATACATCGAGAAACGTTCATTAACAGTCCTGCCTGAGAAACAGTCCTGCCATCAGTGCATTTTTAACTAGTTCCTGACCAGTGATCGGTTAAAAACGGACGCCATTTAATTGCGTCCCAGAAAAGCTATTTCTGGCACCTAAAAGCTGACTCGCCCCAAAATTGGTCCTCAGCACCTATTTGGTGGATACCAGCACCAATCATGGAAAATGACCTTAATTAGCTGTTTCTGGCACCTATTCATCGGTACGCCTTACTCTTTTTTTCTGAATCTGGCACCTAAATGCTGAGCGTAGCACCAATCTAGTAGAAAAATGAACTACTGGCTGGTAGAATCATGTTGTTCTGGTATAATGACCCCGGGAGTCTAGCCTAAAGGTTGCCAGTGCAGCTACACTCTAAGACAGCCCCGTAGTGATCTCAGCATTGTATATGACGTTTAAGTAAGCAAATAATATTGATTTGTTTGAAAAAACAATGTCATTTAAATATTTAAAAGTATTTATCTGTAATGGTTCAAGGGAAACATTTTTGTGAGTAATTGTCTCGATTTTGACCATTAAAACGGGTATTGTATTTTTTGACGTCATCAAATAGCTCCAAAAAAGAATGTAATGTTTTCATTCCGTTCAAGGCCGCTGAAGAAACGCGGGATCTTGCGTGGGACCAAGACCCTAAATATACAGGTTAGTCGGGGGTGACGTCAGCATTGCGACACTAGATTCTGGTATATATACCATAAAAAATCTAGTTTTAAACTAGGCAAAACCGGTTCTGCCTAACCAAAGATTCTTGTCTTCCTATTTATGATTATTAAAGTATTAAGATAAATTTTATAACATTTTCACAGCATATTTTGAAGTTTCAAGGAACAAATATATGCAAATATGTGTAATCTGGTATTGGATTGAAATGATACTAATGAAATAAGCCAACTATGCCAGATGTCAGCGTAACCTGCGCTGGTGATACATTTGTGGTTTCCAAACAAAGTTTTAAAATGTCAATGAATTCAAATTGGAATGGCAAAAGGGCTAGGTGCCTAACGGTTTGGGCTGCTCCTGACTGTATTTACGAATTTGCATCTTGTTTGATTGTAACTATGTTATGGAAAACTCTAACTTGTCCTTAGGCATTGATTGTTTGCATGGAAAGTGATGGTTTTGTCAAATTGTAGGTCCTAACCATCGAAACCGTCCTTTCATTGTAACCACGATTTTCCTACAAGTTATAGCAATATTTTCCAGGGAAAAATCACCTATAATATATGATTTCAAGCTTTTACGACTAGACATCTTAATTCAAGGTAGGTACGTTTTTCGGCTACTAGTCGTTTATTGTTTTCGTTTCGAATTTTCGACCTTCGCATCGAGGTCGTTGTCAAGAAACATACAACAAAAGATTGTTGTATGTTTGAAAACTGAAAACAATAAACGACTAGTAGCCGAAAAACGTACCTACCTTGAAAAATCACCTAGTTAATAAGTATGGGCTGGTGCCTACCCAAAACTTAAATTTTCAAATGATATATCATGTCCCGCACTGGTTACATTAACAAGATTCATGCTTCAAATTATGACAGATAGGTAGCTTGACTACCTATATAGTATATGTTCTGTTCAGGGATGATGAAATCCTGCCAGTATGATTTAAGACCTCATTACCCAGTCTGCAAAATGTGGCAATGAGCTAAATGAGATTTTCGGGGCAGACAAAATTCTGCTCCAAATCAGAATGCTTAGACCTGGGGCAGCGCAATTCCTGCCCTAATAATGAGAATGATCTAATGCTATAATGATTTGGGAGGTGGAGGGAAGCTGAGGAAAGCATTTCTGTTCCAGTTCTCAACTTCTGCCCGAGGTTTTCCAGTTTCTGCCCCAATATTCCTCAAACCTTCCCCAATTTCTGCCCCAATCCATGATGTCTGCCTCGACAAGATCTTGACGAAACCTGCCATGTATTGCAGACTGGCTCATTACTGTATTAAATTTGACGTTATCACGATCATGTTAACATGTTAACATGATCTTTTCCTCTTTCCTTCTTCCAGAAAAGTGCATCTAGTAATTGGCCTGGCTAGTGCACAAGCAAAATCAAGATGGGTTACTGTTTGGTACCAGAATGTACCAGCGGTAACCGAAGGAAAGAACAAGATTCAAATGTGATCCTTCACAGAATCCCAAGAGATGCTGAAAGAGCTACAGGCTACATAGAGCTACATAGACGAAGGACGAGACTACAGGATCTTGCCGAAGCTAAACGTCGACACTCACCTCGAGGTATGTTAACAACTAAAAACTTAAAAAGCTAATAAACGGCTTACATTTAACAAGCGATAAAACCACTGTTATAACTTATACTACATAGTACATACCTATGAAATGCCTAAACAGAAAAGTTCGCGCTAGGTTATCAGAACTTCCCACGGCAGCCCGTGACGGGTGATACGGTGGCGGCCCCGAGGCTCGGTGTGGCCGGCCAGCCTCGCTTACAATGCAACTTGCATGGTCCTGGTCATTTTAATCATTGCCGGAGCTGGAGCCGGAATGCCTATTTGGAGCCGACTCTGACTCAGATGTAAACGGCTCCGTATCCCTGCTTCTAACGTATCCACAGGGCTTTGAACCGCGCCGAGTTGTTACCCCGATCGTAACATGTTGACTGTTGGGCCGGATAGATTCATGGTCCTCTACTACGGCCCCTGGACGTATTTCACAACATGCTTATGTGTTTGGAAAGCGGTCGTCTTTGTTGAGTACCATACTCATTTCTGCCCAGAGCTCCACTGCTATAGATATCCAATTCCATTCATGGAGGGATGTAACGACACGTGACACGCGCCTTTAACGATATGTTTTGGAAATTATATCCAGTGGCGCAGCCTGAACTTTGGTGGTGAGGGTGACATGTGTCATGAATTGGCCCCCTAGCGGAGTGGACCCCTCCCAAAAATGAAAACTCATTGTTTTTGGCCACTTTATTCTCGGAGAACCCCTCAAATTGCACTTTGAACCATAAAATATGATAAAAAAGGCGCGTTTTAGCACGAAATTGGACCCCCGTGATCAGAAATGGGATGACATGTTACCCCTGTCACCCCTGCTGCCTGCGCCACTGAGTATATCAAGGACGTATCATTTTCTATTCGTAAACAGATCCTATTGGTTCTACTGTTTATGTAAAAACGATATGGAATAATGTTGTGGCTGATTTCGGAAGTAGCAATGTCTAATGCTGTTTCCTTTCACAGGTGCATGGCCAAGCGCGCCAGAAAGTCCGACCCGCCGCCCAGCTGCTCAGCCGGTCCACCGCCAAAGCCATCGAGAGATTCATTCCTCAGGAGAAGGAGGCAGCTGACTTCATTCGGCTCTGCAACGACGGGTTCGATGTCCTGAACGGGCAGTCGCCGTGTGACAGCAACCGTCTGCGGCGCGGACTCGGCAGCGCGTCAGTTGAGGCATTCCAGGTCCTTACCGACCTGGAGACAGCCATCCGCAACATGACGGTAGGACAGCGCAGCTCGCTCATGCCCTTCCAGAAGGGCTTCTTAGTGACAATCCGTTCCATGCGAGGGCTCGTCGCTGACATGGTCGATCGTCTGGGTCCCAGTACCTACGTACTGACTGGCCGAGTAAATCAGGACGCCGTGGAATCGTTCTTCGGTATGGTTCGTGGCAAGGGTGGAGCCAATTTTAATCCGAGTCCTAGCGAAGCGAAATCCCGGGTCAGGAACCTGATGCTTATGCACGTGATGAAGCTGGGTCTGAACCCAAAGGTCTCGCGCCAGGCTCGAGGACTGAAAGCATCACGCCAGACTCGACCGGCAGCAGCAGTGGGAGACGAAGAAGGAAGCGGTGATGGAGCGATCGACGACACCGACTTCGCAGAGGAGAGGAGCGTGGAAGAGGACCAGGTGTCTGCAGACCTCTCAGACATGCAGTCGCTGTTTGTGGAGGATAACCAGGGCTCAAAGTCGAGATCGGAAGCGCGGAGCTCAGAGAGAGGGGAGAGGAGTACGGAAGGGGACGATGACTCTGCAGAGTGCAGACCTCTCGGACATGCAGTCTCTGTTTGTGGAGGTGAAGCACCACTACAAGTCGAGATCGGCGTCAAACCGAGTGACGACGTCATCACGGGTGGACCCGCAGACCGGCGTCTCTGCGGAGATGTATGGTATGGCCCACGCTGCAGGGTACGTGGCAGCCAAGTGTCGTAAGGTGGACCCAAATCTGGGGGTCCCATCGGCATTCGCCGAGGAGGAAGTGCCTGTCGAAACAATGTGGACCCGTCTCATCAGCCGTGGTGGACTGAACGTCCCCACGGCTCGGTGGATGTCGGCCTTCCGGCAAATGGAAGCTACCTTCTGCCGACACCACCACATGGAGCCGGACCGCCTCTCCCGCCGGCCGGGCGTGATCGGGTCGCTGACTCGGCTGCTATGTGCTGAGCAGCCCGACTTCGATCCTAGAGTGATCCGCCGCTTCGTGCGCCTCCGCACCTTCATCTGGATGGCATGCATAAACCGCGAGCTTCGTCGCGAAGCCATGGAGAAGCGGGAGGCGCGGAAGAAGAAACAATTCTCCGGCTGAGGAGATGTTATGGAGACATTATGAGGGTTCGATGATGCGCCGCCCGCTGCCGCGAATTACAGTGCAACAGAGTACGGAGGCTGTGATCAGGTGTTTTCTTCATGTGGCTGTATTTGTTTTCTGCTGCTGAGTCTGATGACTGATCGGGTGTTCCTGCATTCGGAGACAGTTGCTCCAATGTTATAACAATGTTTGTGCTTGTTGGTTGTATCGATATTATTGACTCCCGGTCTCCCGGACGAAGTGAGTTTACTGTGTGTTTGCGTGTTAAGTTCAGCACTTTTGAATTTAAAATAACATTGAAGTTAGATTGTTCGTACCACTACCAGGTGTTAGACATGCTAGTGCGTGTGTGCGTGAGTGCTTCTGCAAAGTGTTAGACACCCCACCTAGTTAGTTTCGTGCCATTGGCGTGTTAGCATGATACTGACCGGTTGCACCCTTCGTGTGTGTATACGTAGGATTGTCGTGAAGCCACCCACCGATTGCCAGCACAGAACTGAATAAACACTGGTAGAAATCCGTACCTACTCTGTGTTTTATACATGTGTTTTACTCGTCGGCCGGATCGTTGTTATGGCACGTCACACTTCATGATCAATGCTTTTTATGGTTGCCATTTTTAAAGAAATGTTTGTCCCTTTTCGAAAAGAAGACCGAAAGCGGAATTTTCTTATGGAGGTAGGTAGTACACCTTGGCCCCAACCTTCTGTGGCGGACTGCGGACGCCTGTGTCCGAACCCGGCGTCGTAGTCGACTCCAGTACATCGCAGTCGTAATTGACACGGGGAAATCGGAGTGGGACTTATTCAAACTTACATAGCAGGGATGCTGAGCCGGTGCATTTTGCCCGGATCCAAAGCCGCTGCACAGCTGTAGCATTTTGTCCGGAGCGGGAGCCGACCAAAAAAGAAGTCGGCTCCGGCTCGAATAGAGATTAATAATACATATAGGTAGATAAATTAGCCATCGGGATTGACACGTGGCATCATGTGGCATCTATTTATAGAGACCAGAAGGCAGAAAGTATTGCAGCCGTGTCAGACGAGGCCCAAATGCCTCCCACATACACTTCCGGAGCCGGAACCGCTAGATTTTGCCCGGAGCCGGAGCCGTTTTTACAGTTTACCCGGAGCCGAAATCCTTACTGGGAGCCGGAACCGACTGAGGTGCTCACAGCCCCGCATCCCTGGGTTCAGTCATTGACTCCAAATCTAGTGCCGAGGAGTACCTACCTTAACAACTTACCTGGCGGTTGCGGCCGTCGGCCGGCCGTTCTTGCTGCCATGTCGGCAATTTCGGTGTGTGCACGCTAATATTAACTTTCTAGCATATGCTGTTCAACTAGTGAGTGGTTATATGAGGACTGAAAACCACTAAAGTGAAAAAACAATAATTTACTGCACCGCATCAACATTTCATTTTCAATAAGGGCTATATTCCATGTAACTTAACAGCTATTTTGGCAAAATGACCCTTATTGCTCAATTTACAAGGTGTCGGTTGAAGGCGCACTGACGAAAAAATAAAGTTGATATCGACAAATGGACCCCAGAAATGCAAAGAGGACATCCCTGCCATGATATTAATATGCATATCAGCTCACTGAGACCTCAATATCACGTGTTATCGCGACCCGAAAAACACCTATCTACCCGTAGCGTACAATGCTAGCGCCGGCTCGGTGTCGCAATGCTGACGTCACAGCCAAAGTTGCCACTGAACTTTGGCTACCCCTGCGTGGGACATTGTCCCTTGCTTGGTCCGTTGTTTGCCGCGCAGAGTTGTGCCGTGGTTGTGCCTTTTTCATCCGTTTCTTACTTATGTCATATGTGTGCATGAAGCTTTGATTTTGTTTTTGGTTATTGTGTGGCCGGTCAGTCAAACGCCCCTGTAGAAACCGGATGCTGCGTTTGATCGAGATGGAGTCAGACTTGCAGAAAGCTAATAATATTGAAAAGAGGGCCGGTTGCGTGGCATGTCTGTTCAGAGTTGACATTTTGCTTTACTCCAGTTTATGACCTGAGAGCCTGGCTGGAAGTGACGGATCCAAACTTTTCACGTTAAAATGGCTGAGGGTGCAATAATCTCTAGTCTCTACATAGCGGGCTGGTACCTATAGGAGCGTCTTGCTATGCTGCACCATAGCTGGCTAGTGATTCTCTTTTGGCTAGAAATGGCATTAATCATTATCTCCACTGGCGAAAATGGCACTTGACATCACCGAATGCAACGTTCATGTTGTTAGGATACATAAAATCAGGAAGATTACGCGAATTAGGTAGGCAAACGTGGAATAAAATAGGTGCTGGATGTTTTGGTTTTGGTGCTGAATCAGCAAACAGCAAATACGGAGTTCAACTAGACGATCTGGCAACTTTAGGCTGTGTGGAAGCAATTAGGTGCCAGATTCAGATATTAGGGTCGAATAAGCATTTTGGGGCTGATCAGCAATTAGGTGCCAGAAACAGCTTTTTAGGGACCAGAAACAAATATTCCCCGTTAAAAACTAAGAATCCAAAACTATCAAAATCTATCAGAAACTAAGAAAAGTCAATCTAAAATTGGACTTTTTACACCACTTTGACCGTTGACGTCCATTTTTGTTAAAATTTTGGCAAACTATTTTTTAAAAAATGCGTGCAAGAGTTTCGCTTATCCACCTCACAACATTGTGAAAATATCTCTAGAGAAGCTAAGTGTGTGTGTGTGTGGGGGGGGGGAGGGGGCAGCAAATAGGCATTACTATTGCAGATGTCACACAACGGTTTTCCAACCAATGAGAGGCACTGTAGGCTTGTTGGTTTGGTTGCAAGTTTGCAGGTTGTAGGCTGAGCTACGTTTGGTTTGGTTTGATTCATAGACCACGTTATATCTGATATAGAGACATATGGTGGTCTTTGTTTGATTTAGTTAGAAAGAAACATCTCCGGGAAAGCACGCCTCCTTGGTTGGAAAACCTTCGTGTGACATCTGCACCAGTACCTAATACCTACCAACAATTTGCCCGCCAGCGACTGGCAGGTGATGCGGAGGCCCAACTGCCGCCGGGTTATTAGTTGGTACCCACTGACTACAGGATCGTTTGAACAGCAACGCACACTGAGCACGACGACAAAAACATCCACGCCAATCTTTGGGACCAAATGACACATGACAACGGTCGCAAAAACAGCAGACAGCTGGCTGACAAGTTGTGAAAACTCAAGATGTGAGACCAAAATATGACAAATGATCTGTAGGGAAAGCTACAACCCAGTCACAAGCACTCAAAAGATTATACTCCAGCTGGTCACCATTCCTCTCTGGCCAAAGGTATGGCAGCCACCAACTGCATTTCCATTCATGACATACCTGTTTCAGCTGTTCGTTGTATGTATTCAAATTGTCAACCAGATCTTCCGCCATGTCTTATTGTGAATGGAAAAAGCCTTTCAATAATCTGAAACAAGGTTTCCAGGTTAGTGATACTGTAGAAAGTAGGTGGGTACCTACCACATGTTGCCTTACTTTAAAAGTGGCCACCGGTCTTAGTGAGGACGGCTTGGCGTAGTTAGGCCGCCGCCCTCCTCGCGAGGCCAGTAACGTAAGTTAGAGCCACTAAAAATATGAATACCTAATGGGTTGTAGGTTTTTAGGTTTGTTAGTTGTAGGTTGGTAGGTTGTAGGTAAGTACGTAAGGTTAACCCGCGCCGTGCTGGTGGCCTGAACTTTCCGCCGAGTGCTGGGGGGGGGGGGGGGCGTTTTCACGCCCCCCCGTCTAACTCGGCTCCTGGGCCACGTAGCGACACGCGGTAAGCGGCAATCGAAAGAGTGTCAAAAATAAGGACGAAAACACTTCGGTCATTTTTTGGGTCAGGTCAAAGGTCAGGTCACCAGAGGTCACCAAAGGTAAAATGTTGACTATTTCAACATTTTGGAAACTGCCAACGGCTATCTCGGGAACCGATAGAGCTACAGCGCCGCGGAAAAGCGCATTCGATAGCCCTTTTACAGACCTTTCTGAGTAATGTTCTCAGATTTGACCTCAGGTCAACGGTTTAGCCTCCAGAGGGCAAAAACTCCAAAAATAGCCGTTTTTACGAAAAACGTTTTTTCGTCAATAACTTTTGACTCATAAGCGCCATGACATTACTTTTGCCAGCATCGTGTTCCTCTCGTCGAGACGCGTCGAATGAACTATTTGTTGACCTTGAAAGGTCATTTTGAAAATTTGACCTCAGGTCAAGGTCATGACCTGACCGAAAAGGGTCATGTTGCATATCAGTCGATCCGTATCGTCGAGCTGAACACATCTGACGTGTTTTCACCGCTCTAGCACGTCTCTATCAAAAGTTATAGCCAAAAAACTGCTGGCGACCGTTCATGACCTGAGATGACCTCAGGGGCACACAGAGGGGTCACAGGTGCATTTTTCCTATTCAGTGTGTCATGTTTACCTCTGAACCGATGTTTGAGAGCGTTTTGAACGATATTCGTCCAAAAGAGGCGCATTTCAATTTTCTCCCATTGACTTATAATGGAGAGGTCGCAAAATTGACCTGACCTTAGGTCACAGATATCAAAAATCCGAGATATACATTTTATACATACTGTTACTCATATCAATCGCTGAAAGTTTCAAAGTGATCGTTCAGTCGGTGTAGCTATAGCGAGCCTTTGAACTTTTTTCTGAGGTAAGGTCACTTGACGTGACCTGGTGACCTGACCTTGAACGGCCTAGGTCTGAAATTTTCACAACATGTGCGGAAATGATGTAGGAACACGTGTACCAAAAACAGCGGCGCTGCGCGCCGCCGTTTTTGAGATATTCGCGAAAAACCTGAGGGGGGGGGGCGTAAAAACGCCCCCCCCCCCCAGCACGGCGCGGGTTTTAAGTCATGCTTTTTGTTTTGTTTTTCTTCTCTGTCACGCCACATGCTGACTGGGTATCGTATTTGGATCCAGGATGTCAAATTATGTAAGAACATGCAACATTTTTCAACGCACGCCCTGCTGGGTGGGTGTTTGAACATCCCCCCTCCTACGGTTTTTGCGGCACACCTTATCATACATCTTTTCTACATAGGTTGTGAAAATTTCAGACCCAGATCACTTAAGGTCAGGTCATCAGGTCAGGTCAAGTGATCTCACTACCTACATACCTAAAAAGTTTCAATGTCTGCCAAAGCTACACCAAGTGACCTATCACTTAGAAACTCTCAGAGACTGATAAGAGCAACATTATGTGCAAAATGTTCATCTTGGAATTTTGATATCGATGACCTGAGGTCAGGTCAATTTTGCGACCTGCTCATTATGTCAATAGGAGAAAATTGAAAGTCACCTTTTTTAGACGAAAGTCATTATAAACACTCTAAAACACCGAATTACTAGCATCTTTGACACACTGAACATGAAAATGGTACCTGTGACCCCTTTTTTGCCCCTGAAGTCATCTCAGTTCACCAATGGTAGGTATCTGGCTGTTTTTTGCATCCTAATAGCTTTTGATAGAGGCATGCTAGAGCAATGAAAACACTTTAGTTGTGTTTGACTCGACGAAACGGATCAACTGATATGCAACTTGACCCTTACCGGTCAGGTCATGACCTTGAGGCTTGACCTGAGGTCAAATTTTCAAGTTGACCTTTCAAGGTCAAATGATAGTTCATTCAAAGCGTCTTGACGAGAGGAACACGATGCTGGTACCTAAAAGAAAGTTTGTGCAAGGTTTCAATCAAAACTTATTGCAGAAAAGCATTTCCAAAAAATCAGCTATTTTGGCAGTTTTTGCCCCCTGTAGGCAAAACCGTTGATGGTAGGCCAAATCCCAGATGATTACTCAGAAAGAGCATTAATAGGGCTATCAGATTAGCTTATCCGCGGCACTGTAGCTTTGTCAGTTTCAGAGCTGTGCATCAATTTGTTGAAAATTGTCAGCATCTGACCTACAAATCAGCGAATTTTGGCCTTCAATAACCTCCTGTGACCTGACCTGACCTATGAACTGACCAAAAAGTGACCAAAGTGATTTCTTCCTTATTTATGACGCTTTTTCAAACGCCGCCTTCCATGTATCGCTACGTGGCCCAGGAGCCGAGTTAGAAGGGGGGGGTGTTCAAACACCCTCCCCCAGCTGCCAGCACTCAGCAGGGCGTGGAAATCCAGGACCCCCAGCCGGCCGCGGGTTAAAAGTGAAGTTGGACTTTAACCCATGAACAATAATCTGATTAATTTGGACAGTGTTTCACAGCCTGACACTGCAGTGATCTATTGTATTTGTACAACGTTTGATATTATTATGCCATGACCCTTCAGCATTGCGATATGCAATCTGCCTGATCCTAATGCGAGCATTCAAATTTGTTGGTTTCATGGAAACCCGCAGCACCACCGCACCACCTGGTGTAATTAAGTGCAGTGCCAGTCGGGGAAACTATGGTAAAATCTGCTATTTTTTGCAGTCTGCTATTTTTAACAGAAATCTGCCAAAAATGGGTACGCATATGACGTCATCGTACCCAAATATAGCAGATTTGGGTACGACTCCATACAAAAGCAGATCTGCACCCTAATTGAAGCAAATGCGCATCAAATGCCTGGCAGATTCATGATTAGAATAGTGCTGAGAATGTCCTCTGATATTTTTATTCAGATCCGACTATTTTCAAATCATGAATTTGAAAATAGTCGGATCTGAACAAAAATAGCAGAGATCACTCTCAGCACTATTCTCATCATGAATCTGCCAGACATTTGATGCGCATTTGCTTCAATTAGGGTGTAGATGTAAGTTAGGGCCACTAAAAAAAAAGCTTTTGTATGGGGCCGTACCCAAATCTGCTATATTTGGGTACGATGACGTCACCTGCGTACCCATTTTGGCAGATTTCTGTTAAAAATAGCAGACTGCTAAAAATAGCAGATTTTACCAGTTTCCCCGACTGGTGCCTTGAACAGGGCCCGTATCCATGCACATCCGTTCAATCCAATGCTTCCAAATCTAATCAATCCAAAACCATCCATGAACCAGGTCTGGGTCAGTGAGCACTGAGCACCTCGTCTTGGTCTAGTCCCCTGGGCAAAAAAAAGTGAATTGTTCCAGCACCAACACAGCTTCAGAGAGACAAAATATGTCATATACTATGCCATATATCACTCTTATAAATTGAAATAACCCGGAGGGACAGAAAGTTTACAAACCAAGGCACAAACTGTAACGTACAAACTTCATACAAACGTACAAACTCTGTAACTTCAACTTGGGTAGCATGTACAAACGAACAAACAAAACGCATTAAAAGAATGTGTGTTCTATTCATAACATAGTAGTCCCAGATGCTGCTGATTCACCAAGAAAAGTTCAACAAGATCTGGCAAAAGGTTATGTGTTTTTAATTTTTTTGGCAGGGCATATTGCAAAATTAAAATAAAATAATTCGAACATTTTTGTTGAATTCTGAAGGCAGAATACATAAAAGAAAATAGAAATATATCATGAAACACTCGCGCTTTGCAGTAATAAAATTGAACACTATTCAGTCCTTTTCAACAAACTGGCGCATATGTGACGTTTGTGAAAGAGAATGTACCGCCAAATTTCAATAGAGGTCCGTCGCTTTACACGCATGGAGTCGTCAATAGGCAATAGGCAACTGGGCAGGTCTCATGCGACTCGATATGACTCTTTTTACATTTTTTTTTTGCAACTGCTTCAACCAGCCTGACGCTGTTCTATATACCCTAGTTTTTGCACTTCATAAGTTAGGTTTGTTCGGGTTTGTTCATCTGTATGTTCATGCTTGATTCGCTATTTCACACCTTGGTGTGCTTTTTATTTCTTGTCACAAGTCGAAGAAGAGATTGGTCAATTTTAGTAAAAGTTTTTTATTTATAAATGTTGGCTAGATGTTGGCTGGTGCTGTTTTTCTTTACCTCAGTCTTTTGCCACACTTTTCAGGTTTAATGGAGACAGTAAGTGGCCATCACTGCAAGCCAATCAGTGATACGGCTCACTTCATCCTGGTCACCTGCAGCCCCTGAGGTGACTGTTCAAGTGGCAGGGTGTTGGATTGGAATAGCTGGCCACTCAGCCAATTTATCATCATAGTGTAGGAAATGTGAATATCCTCTTATCAGCAAAGTAAACCGAATAGCAAAAAAAAAATACAGCTGTCACATCACTATTGTGGCATACTCACTCACCAACTCCTCCCGGCTCTCATCACATAGGCACCTACATATACAATATGCAATGGTCTTCATTAAGCCCCCAAAATGCTCTCAATTTAAACTAAATCAATACCAGACAGTAGATGCCTGATTGAATTATATAAAATAGTTCATATGAGCAAACAATTTCTCTTGTTAGTGTTATAGAAGCTCATATTTGTATCACTAGCCAAAGGCTGTATTTCAGGAACTGCAGATCAACACTGCTCCAATATGGAAAAGCTAGTCAATGAAGAGGCTGACTTTGATACTCAAGAAAATGTGCAACCCAGCCAAGAGGCATCAATCAAGAGAATTGATAAAGGCACTGTGCACAATATTTGCTCTGGCCAGGTGAGGAGGAAATTGAATTCATTAAATAATTACCTTAGTAACTGGTGTTACTGTCATCTTACTGTGTGGATTCTTTTAAAAATGAAATAAGAGTTTATGGTATCAACTATCAGGCACTCAGAAATAACAGAGAGATGAACTGTGTCTGCTTCATGCCTATGATTGAGTCCATATAACCAACTCCCTGCCCAGTGAGACAACAAACAGCACAAGTTTGTATTTTGGCTATGTACAGATTTCCTTTTTAATTAAAAAATGGATGCAAAGTTAACTCAAGGATGGTCTGAATCATAGGTATTGAATATAACCCATCCTTGTGTAATGATATCTAAGTGACTTTATATCTTGCTGATCTGAGGCCAGCCTCTCCTGTGTGTAGGTACATGGGTATGCTGTACTGTGTTTATGATGTGCAAGGTGCTGGAGTCCATATGTTGTATGGATATATGGACACATGAACATCAAATATTCATACCTTTTCAACTAACCCTCGCCCGTATTGGCGTTTAGCCAGCCGCGAACGTAAGGGGGGAGGCCTGTTAGACCCCCTTGCCGTTTGACCCCTGATCGAGCTAGAGCTTCGCGGAAAAAATGAGCGTGTTACCCGTGACGAGAGGAAGCCGATGATACCCAAGTTTAAGGTCCTAGGTCATTGGTTGACCTCTCAGGTCAGGGCAATGACCCAAGAGTCGGGAAAATCGGGACCTGTTAGAACGTCGTAAAGTGTGGCTGCTATGGGTTTTTTCGGGGTGGACTACGAATATCATGTTAGTTTTCATCACAGATGATGTCTTCATGCATTTAGGCCAGGTCGTGTCAGGTCAGGTCAGGTCAACCAGTAGGGGTTCTGCCGGTTATTCGTAGTACCTGTCATCCCCATTCCATTCCATTCCAGTGTATTTTAGTAAACAAGGATCAAATAAATGTACAGAGCAAATAAGGGATCGGCGCAAAAGCATCGCTTAAATTAAAGCGCCTCTCCGAAACATCTTACATCTTAAACATCTTACAAAGGCACCAAAACTACTTCGTAAATGTTCACAATGCTGCTAAAATTCGAATTCAGCTAAAAAAAAAAACTAGCCTGGAAATATGTGAAACATGGAAATATGTGTGAACCGAGGTCATCAAAGGTCAGTGACCTCATCTGACTTTCAGGTGACCTTGACACCCACCCTAATGCATGGGACCAGCGTCATATCATATGTTCGAACGCTTGAAACCACGAAAAGACTGCAAACGTGCGGCTAATGCGAGCCGATATACGCCGAATCGTGATTCCGGCCAAACATGGTCTCGAGAAATAGGTCAAAGGTCACTTCGGCCAGGGTCATGACATTTTTGAGGATAGGTGTAAAACTGAGTAACTCGAGGGTACTGAAATTTTCGTCGCGATCAGCCGTTTTTACGCGAGTTATTCGCGAAAAACCGAGGGGGGGGGGGTCCGTTCGGGCTACACGGGCGAGGGTTAATCATATGAAACAATGGCTCCCAAAACTGTCTCCCCTTCCCGTGTGTACACGAGAGTTGAGCTCCATCGTATCCATTGTGTAACTGCCGCGGGGAACTGTCCTTCCACGATATTCCTTCGAGGAATTTAGGGCAAGTGAATTTCAATTCCCCGACTAAGGTAGGTTAGGGCCTTTGGGGTATTTTTTTATCGTAGTATTCCCACCCAACTAACTTTTATTTTATCCAGGTGATAACCAGCCTCCGCTCGGCGGTAAAAGAGCTACTTGAGAACGCGCTGGATGCCGGCGCTACTTCAGTGGAGGTCCACCTCTGCGACCACGGCGCCACCAGCATTGAGGTCATCGATAACGGCAACGGAATCACAGCGGACGACTTCGAGGCCGTAGGTACGTCATTGCACGATTTATGGCAACTTAGAAGATGTATTTTCACAAATTTTTAGTGCGTGCTCCGCTTGAATGATGCTATTGGCACGTTTCTTAGGCATGCTAAGTTGACTTTCTTTTTCAATTACGATTGAGCGGTTTTGTTAGACTGTTCGTAAAAATTGGTTTTTGGAGCACTCAAAGCTGGGTTGTATTGTGTCCACAGCCCTGAAGCACCACACCTCCAAGTTGCGAGAGTTTGACGATCTGCCCGGCGTTGGGACGTTCGGGTTCCGCGGGGAGGCTCTGGGGTCGCTGTGTGCACTGGCCGACGTGTCCATGGTAACACGTCACCGCCAGGCGCCGGTCGCCACCCGACTCAAGTTTGATGTAAACGGTCGTCTCATCGAACGAACTCCAGCTGCCCGGCAGGTAAGGACGGATGAAAAACAACACAATACTCCTTGTTTCAATAGCGGGAAAGTACTTGCTCTAATTGATGTTTTTATTTTCCGTAATCTTCTTCATGCGTTGCTGTTATTGCTGCTACTCTGTGTTGACTGGTCCTCCGTTCAGGTGGGTACGACGGTGACCGTGCGCCAGCTGTTCAGCACTCTGCCGGTACGGCGGCGGCAGTTCTGTGGCCGGGCGCGCCGTGAGGTCACGGACCTCCTGCAGCTGCTCTGGGGATATGCCCTGGTTGCCGACGGTGTCAGGTCAGTCAGCACACGGTGTCGGGTCTTTTTGGCTGAGGTAGAGCGGCTATTGGATGGCAGGTTTCGGTAGTTACTTTGTTTGATGGAATATGCACGCATGCCGAGTTTGGATGCCTGGCTAGATTTGCAGAAACATCATTCCAGAATCCAGAGGTTCGCCCACCTCACATTAACTTCAGTCACCAGACTGTACAACGTGTTGCCGTCAGTCGGTCATTCTCATCTTTACTCATCACCTGCCTTCCAGACTTTTCACGATCGCCGACCTGTCGCCGTTTTCGACTCGACCTCCAGGCTCCATCACACCCCCTCCCCTCCGCTGCGTCAGACCCTGGTCGTGCCATTCTCCGTGACCACCCGTCCCTCTCCAGGCTGGTGTGCACCCAGCAGGCGGCCGCCGGCCGGCGCAGCGTGCTGCTGAGCTCTCCGGCCGTGGCGGCGCTGCTCGAGCGCGTGACGGCGCTGTTCGGTCAGAAGCAGACGGCCACCCTGCTGCCGCTCCAGCCGACGGCGCCGTCAGACGGGACGCGCGCCGAGTTCGGGCTGGGCGCAGCGGCCGAGCGGACACAGCCCAAAGTCACGGTGCAGGTGCGACAGATGGGGAGTGCTGGCCAGGGCGGGCTGGAGATATACCGGTTGCTTTGCCTGAGTTCCTGTGCCTGAGCCTGGCTGACTTTTTTTAACCACATTTTGAACATTATTTTCGATCATGCTATTTCTCTTTCATTGTGCACAAGAGTCAAGACTAGGGTAAACGAAGATCAGATACGCTCATGTTTTGTAATCGTACAACCGACGCAAGATTAAGAACTGTTATCGAGATTGAGTGGTGCATGGTTGCTATCCTAGGTGAGTTGATGGCAAAGAATGTGGTGGGATATGGATAAAGATAGAATGCTGGACGGAAGGGGAGAATGCGTTCTGAAACATCATCAATATGTGCTACATCGTGACGATCGTAGAACATACTTTGACTGACCGTGTATGTTCCGTCGTCTTCAGAGTGGTCTGATCATTTATTCATCTGTTTATTCTAATTATTCAGGGCCTGGTGTCGTCCTGTGAGCACGGCAAGGGCCGTAGCGCGACCGACCGTCAGTTTATCGCCATTAACGGCCGGCCGTGTGATCATACCAAGGTACGTGCGAGGGTGCTGGGGTTAACCAGCTCTCACAGAATACACGGGAAAGATATACCGCTCACCATGCCTACAGTTTGTTATGCGTTTTTTCTTCTGTGAAAGGCATTTGCCCAACTGTCATAATATGCCAACGATCAAAATGCCTAGGCATTTTTATTTTACTTGACTAGGTCATTAATGTTTTGGTCTATGATCTTGTGGTAACAACCAATCACTTTGCATTTAGTGTCCTGATGTCGTAGTTTTTACGATTTCGCCCGCATCGACGCCTTGCAGGCCTATTGATATGAAACTATCGTAACGTAATGTCAACAGTAACTGTAACGCCGTACCTCTGGCATTTTCTCCACTGTGCACAGATCTGTCGCCTGGCGAACGACGTATACCGGAGCTACAACCGCCATCAGAGTCCCTTCCTGGTGCTGTCACTCACTCTAAGCCGACAGCACGTGGATGTGAACGTGACGCCCGACAAGCGCATGCTGTTCGTTCAAAACGAGAAGTTTCTGCTCGCCTGTGTCAAGGTCAGTTTAGAGTCAGCTGTCCATATGGTCATTCAGGTTGGTGGAAAAGAAGTGAATACTAAGTAAAAATGATACACGTAATCATAGATAACATGATTCATGTTATCTATGACGTAATGCATTATGGATTCTACAGATTTGTGTTGGATATTCAAAAGCTTGGTATAGGAGGTACGGCTCTCGCGAGATTAAGGGGTAGGTTTTGCCCTTTTACATTTCCGGTTATATCTCAGAAACTAACCGATCTACGATGAAGCCATTTTAAACGATCATGGCAGGCTTGTGCACGGTGACTGTAATTAATAGCTTGTGAACGAACAAGTCTATCGCATCTTCAACACTCAAAAGCTTAAGACGACCAAGATATAGCCTGAAGTATACTAAATTTCATAGGTGCAAAACCTGCCGCTAAAACCCGCGAGACCTTACGTACCTACTAAGCAAGAAGCATTGACTCATTGCACGACCGCAAAAATGGACGGCAACACTTTTTTGCACTGATTTTGAAACCATTTGGCACGTGCTCATTGCAGGTGTAGCATACTCTGTTGTATTAGTGCGTGCTTAACCTTATTCGCGACTAAGCTCCTTATATCATTTCTGCCGTTCGCAGGAGTCACTCGTCCAATGTTTCGAGAGCTTGCCGTCGTCGTTCAGAGTGGCTCCGCTGGCGCCGCCCGGTCTGCCGCCGGTGACGTCACAGTCGCCCTCAGTGACGTCATCTTCGCCTTCGGGCGGCCCGTCCGGCGACTGGATCTCGGCCATCAAGCGCAGCGCTCAGAAGAACGGGGGCTCGACCTCAACAGCGGCCGACAGCAGCAAACGTAAGCCGGAGTCGATAATGTTAGGGAAAACCTAATTTTCTACTCGGACGCCCGAAAGTTTTCGAGACATTGCCTTCAGCAGGGTCTCAACTTTCGAACGTATCTGATCTATTGATGCCTTTTTATTTATTTTTTGATAATTTTCTTGCATCCCTTGCTGTCATCCTAGGAGCTACGGTTCCCTGACCGCAGTTTGCGTCCGTTCGGCAGGTCAGTGTCTGGACCGTTTCTTCCGTCGGGTGCCGACTCCGGAGAAACCTGACGGAGGACCAGACGGCGGGGAGACAATCGCCGACGACCCTGCCACCGCTGGCGAGAGTCCAGGGGAGCGCCTGCTGTCCTCTAGTGCTCCGCTAACGCCCTCTGGTGCTCCGCTAGCTACCTCCGCCGCTGTCCCTTCTGGGGTCAGTACTGCCGTCTCCGCTGCTGCCGTTCCAAACGACTGCATTGATGGTGACTCAGAAATCGCTGTCATTTATCCGGAAACCGACTGCGACGCTGCTGAAGAGACATCGTATACGGACAATTCAGTGGCGACATGCAGTGTGGCCGAACGCCTCAAAGACACTGATGTGGTCGAGTTGACACAGTCGTCGGAGGGAGAATGTTATCAGCCGCCGTGCGAGGAGGGAAACGGTCTCACAACTCCGAGGACGAACGCTGAGACTATGGAGTGTTTGGATGTGACGGAAGTTTCAGTAGACAGAACAGCTGGGGTCGTGAACGAATCGGAATCTCAATCGGATGGGGCGCTACAAAAGCGGGACAAAACCAATGGCACTGTCGGCCCATCCATACCAACCTCTGAGCCAGTGGAGGTGGAGACGGCGATATCCCCCGACTCCGGTTTTACCGAGTCCTCTTCTCAGGAGAGTGATGACGGCGCGAGGAGGCAGGGTCGGAGGCGCGCGCGGCTGGCGTTTAGTATGGAGCAGCTGCGACGCCAGCTAACGCAGCTGGAGAGCGCCACGGCGGAGAGCGGCGGTACAGGACGCGACTGGCGGTTCCGGGCCGCCATCAAACCGTCAGACAACTCGGCCGCAGAGGAGGAGCTCAGTCTGCAGATCAAGAAGGACGACTTTTTGAAGGTGAGCACGGTACAGTTGTGGGAGCGGGGTTGGGGATGGACGCATGATGGCCTCGCTTTTTGCATGCTCCTAAATCACAACGAACAGAGGAGCGGGTTTTCTGATAAGTGCTGTCAGCTATCGCGAAATCACCTGACTCAACATATCATCACCAAACATACGTGGAAGATGACGATTAAGGAAGGTAGCTTAATATTTTCATCGCACAGTGCGGTCTTATAAGCCCAACTCATCGACGTGTGTGACTGTATCTTCCTCTGTTGATCACTATCCACTGGTCGATATCTAACAAATGATCGGTGGTTCGCTGCAGATGCGCGTGGTGGGCCAGTTCAACCTGGGCTTTCTGGTGACCCAGCTGGGACGCGACCTGTTCCTGATTGACCAGCATGCCACCGACGAGAAGTACAACTTCGAGCGGCTCAGTCGACAGCCGCTCTCTAAACAGCCGCTAGTTGTGTGGGTAGCTTCGGACAGGACTGGGTGTGTTCCGTGCAGGGAACGGAACGAGTCCCTGTGCTTTTTCCCGTCAATGTACTTTTATGCTACAGCCGCCATTTTCATTGTTCTATTGTTTGACAGTGGTACTACCCAGTTATCGTGCACAAGACGTACAATACCATGAATCCCTCACTCGCTAGTGGAGCTGACAGACCCCCCCCCTCCTGGGCAGCCCCCAGGAGCTGGAGCTGCCGGCCACCTCCGAGGAGACGCTGCTCTCCCAGCCGGAGGTGTTCTCGGCCGCCGGGTTCCACGTGGCGGAGGACGCGGCAGCGCCGCCGGGCCGCCGTCTGCGCCTACTGGCCGCGCCCGCCGTCCAGGGCGTGGTGTGCGGCCGATCCGACCTCGAGGAGCTCATCTGGCTGGTACAGGAGTCGCCCGGACCGCTGACCGCTCTTAGGTGAGACCCCGGTACGATGGACGTTCTCTCAGGTGAGACCGCGGTACGATGGACGTTCTCTCAGGTGAGACCGCGCCGCAGCAGCGACTCTTAGATGAGATCTCGACATATTGTGGAGGTTCTCAGGTAAAATCCGTTACGATGGTGGCTCTCAAGTTATACGTTGGTGTGATGGAGGTTCTCAGGCCACCAAAAGTTATTGTAGGCAATGAATGAATCGCGATAACCATACATTATAAATACCTACTCAGTAATTGAATAAATAAACAATTAAATGACACCTAGTGACCCCTGACCGCTTCTGTGACCGGCAGGCCGTCGCGGGTGCGCGCGGTTCTGGCGTCCCGCGCGTGCCGCACCTCTGTGATGATCGGCACGGCTCTCTCTCATTCGGGCATGGCCCGGCTGGTGGAGCACATGGCCGAGATGGACCACCCCTGGGTGAGAGACGGGTGGTGAAGTCCGATTAGGGGGGAGGGGGGGGGGGTAGATTTCGGGATGCAGACATATGGACGATCACGTTAGGATATAGAAATTGAAAATTGTTGGATATGCTACAGTCATAATCAATGAGTACCAATGGTGTCTTCAACTCAGGCCAGCAGTTGCGATAGGTCAAATGTTTGGATGAAATGCTCCGGATGAGTTAAAACCCCGTTGTGTTGTGATGAATCATGATGTCCGCTGTGTTTCAGAACTGTCCCCATGGCCGGCCGACGATGCGCCATCTGGTGTGCCTCAACATGCTGGAGAAATCGTGACCGCCCGCGATAGACTACCTAAACAGGCTGTCGGTGGTAGTCCTCTCCTTCACACCGCCTCAAAATGCTCTAGAAGCGGTGAACGCCCGCGTCAGACCGGTATCCTCTGAAGGACTCCTGGCCGGGCAGATGTGGATCAGGGCAGCGGCAGACCGTAGAGCTTGTCGCTGTGAATGAATGTAGTAGCTCAGCTTCGTCGTGTTGCGGGACTTGAGCCATGTCGATGGCGTACTGCCATATAATTCCTGAAGAATCCAGAATTCATATTGCTCGGCTGTGATTGTCATTGTCATAGACGAGTACGCCACTTGTCTTATTGTGTATCGCCACATAATCTTGCTTCCATTCGCAGTTACTGGTAAAGCTGTGACTGGTGCATACCCAGCATTTGACGTTTTATTTAGATGTGCATATTTTTGTAGATGCTCGTCGTCACTTTCTCTTGGTCGCAATTGTCCCAGGCTAACGCATATATGTAAAGCCATCACCCCATAAAACGGGGTGGGTAATGCTTCATTCAGACAGTATTTCATAGTGTGCCAACGACCAAATGCGCATGAATACATGATGTATGTGAAAATAATGAACAAACTTGCCGTCGCTTAGGTAAGCTCGGATAGGGAGCGTTCATACAAGAGGGTCATATAACCGGTCCTTCCAGTGCTAGTGGTTTTCAAAATGAGCCGTGAATAACGTCTGCTGCAATGCTCGATATGATTGGTGCTTTGCCACAACTTCGTGTGCCAAAAATGTCAAAGATTTTAGAGAAAATTCCAGGTTCATCCCTGTTCACAAGCAACATCTGAAAGACTAAAATTGTGCACAAAATGCATATATTTCAGAGTGGTTGCCTCATCACACTGCATTGCACGTTAGCACACATCACTTTGCGCACATAAGCACACATCACATTGCACATGACTAGAATGTCAGCCGCAACGTATCACTTTCAACCACACCAGTTCACAAACGTCAGTGCAGCACAGCTGTACCGACTTCACAACACAAACAAGCATACCTTCAAAGAAGGAATCGGGGCGAGTTCGCATTCGGATCGTCACCGCACCATTCGCTGGTCTGGGTCACTTATAAGTTCACATGCAATAAAACGGTAACAAGCACTCAAATCTCACAATTTTCAGGTACCGCATTCTCGTAGCAATCACTCTGCGCGCGAACAAACAACAATCACATAACGGCGAGGCTGGCCGTTAGTCGCAGCACACTATACACTCGCAGGAGATAAATGCGGAAATCTATCTATAGATTATTACGTCGAACAACTAAAACGCGCTCGGTAAGGACCCCGTCTATGGGACATGGGTTACTCAGGGCAGTGGGTCGTCCAATGCCCGCAAATGTGACCATGCGCGACATCTATCGCACATTACACGCGCTTTGAGCCCAACCGTCGCAGAACCTGAGGTATCTCTACAAATCTGTCTAGTCCTACTGCGTCAGTTCCCACTCCTTCTCTAGTCTCCCGGCCCACAATATTATCTGCGCGATAATATCACCAACACTTTTCGGGTCATTCTTCTAGGCAGCTCGGTTTCCAACACTTTCAGGTCGTTTATCTAGCAGCCCAAACTACCTCGACCACTCCTCCCATTCCCCTCCTTGCCCCACCCGCTAAGCTCACCCTCCGCCGTCGCTCCGGTTGACCCGGTTCCTCCGCCGCTCAGAATCCGTGCGTATCGCGCTTCAGGTGGAGCCAGTCGATGAATCGCTGGTGGCGGCGCCGCTGCCGGTTCAGCTCCGTGACGGCGCGGCCCAGCTTGAACGAGTTCTTGCGCAGGTACATGCGCGCGTCCTCCTTCAGTTGGCGCAGTTTGTCCGGGTGGCTGTCGTCGAGAAGCACGTTCTCGGTGAGGTAGGGGTTCAGACGGAAGTAGCTGTGAGTGGGCAGTAGCTCCGTGAGAATGGTGTGCACACCTGGAACGGGGAAGGAGGGTCGGTCAATGGTCGGCCCGGGTCTGTCTCGGACTGTTATAGACTGACAGACTAAATCCAAGGGAAATGTTCCGAGAAGTCATCCATCAGCAGACTAAACGGAAAGGAATCTAACGTTTGACCAATTGTGAAACAGGCATTTACAGCACGCACAAGAGTAAGAAAGGGAAATTAACTCACTGACTAAAAACATATCAACATGCCAGCCATGAGTGGCGCATAAAACATGAAAAAAATAACAAAGCGAAATCAAAGACCGCACACACTCAAATCTTTTACCTTCAGTATCTGTGGCACTGTCGACGAATTTCCGGATCTTGGTCATCCATGAGGTGGCGTCGGGCGCGGCGGCGGCGGCGGCGGCCGTCGGCCGGGTGCTGAGCATGCTGGGCGCGAACCGGCCGGTGCCGATGGAGACGACGCACTGCAGGGGCTCCTGCGGCCACAGCTGGCGCGCCTCGTGGATGGCGATCGCCGCCGGGTTATTCACCAGAATACCGCCGTCCTGAGCGTAAGGAGAGTGTGTGGTGAGCACATGGCGATAGGACTATGTGGGAGTGCTGAAACAACCATCGCACCTTGGCAATCTTGTAGAATGCAGACACTGACACTACGAGGCAGCCTGCTTTACAAAAGCGCTTGAAGAGAAATCCACGAAACATCGGAAGAGAAAGAAAGTCGAAGAAAGCACACAAATAAAACTGGTGCCGGTGGCTAATGCGATGTTAGTTGGAAAAAATGTTGAAGCTGAGAAATATGCAGATTGCAGCAACATTTACGTTATCAACTGGATGCGACAAAACGAATCCATAAATACGATGAAAAGAAGATAGCATTCAGTGAGCGTATATAGTAACGCTCACCGTTTCACGACAAAAGTAGCGTGACGCGCCTGTCCACCACCCACTCCTGGGTGACCCTGTCGGCTCTCACCTGGTGGAGCATGTCCCCAATGCGACACTCCTGGAAATAGCCAGGGGCCGCCGCCGACGCCTGGACCGCCTCCCACACCTTGTACCGGCTGCTGCCTGCGAGAGCCGCAAAACGCAACCTTAGATCGAGGTCAGCAGTGCACACGCAACTCGACCGCAGGCAGCCTTTCGATACGACAGATTTACATGATGAAAAACATGCATAAGGGTAGCTACTAGCCAAACGAATGATTCCTTTCTCTAAAAGCTGGACACTGTGTCCAGTGACACTGGACCTGGACAACTGAACCACTGAGCACTGAACCTCCAGTTAACTGAAAGCCCCGAACAACTGTATTAAGATTATTCATCTATCATCCAGTGCATACCCTGGTAGTGCGACTGCACGTGGTGCGGGTGGTTGTAGCTCCGAAATATAAACGCCTGCAGCTGGTCACTGCTGACCAGCGTCGATACGGCTGCCACCTGACGGAGAGACGAGAAAATACAGTCATACGGCAACCCTATGTACCGGGAACCAGCTGCGCCAAATAGTAAACGAATTCCTTTTTTCTGTTGATTTTATCTTGTTTGCGCCATTTCCCGGGCAAAAGCCGCGCTGTGTCTAGGGGACTTGGCTAACCACAGATGGCTGACCAGCGCAAATAAGCTGATGTGAAAAGCTGTCACCGATGGTGTGCATCAGTTACACGCAGTCACGTTCAGCCGCCTCAGCGAAAACTCCACGACGTGTTAGAATGCAAATCATATAGATGTCACCCTGAAAGATATCAATGGAGGATAACCTATCAACTCGTACCCCACCTGTTCCGACCGTCCCGCTCGGTACCTTGGGCGCGGCCTGGTCGCGGCTGAAGGCGATGAGCGGCTGCATGCCCAGGTTCTGCTGCAGGATGACGCGCCACGCCTCCGTGTCGTAGTAGCTGTGTTCCCAGAGCAGCTTTGTGGTGCCCTTGAGCCGGGTCTGGGTGAACACGGCCGTGCCCAGCCGGGTGTACAGCTCCTCCACCTCGTCCAGTGACCGCTTCAGGGGACCTGCAGGCGGCCGGTCCGTTATTATCGGTAGGAGAAAGTGATATGTATTGCATACTGACACCTAAAATGAGTCGTTTATGTGGCGTAACCCAATTATAGACGAACTAAGCTTTTACAAAAAGTTCCGGCAATAGCTCTCGCCATAATATCCCGTTAAAAGGTACGGAAGAACTCAATACCTGGCCCGCCCGCTGTACCCTCCGGCACTTTGTTTGCTCCATCCGTTCGCGAGCCCGTCTCCCTCAACTAACAGTCCTACAGATAACAGAGATCCTACCCAGTGACCCGGGAGTAGTGAGTGTAACTGGTCGCGCGGTCACCGCACATTTTCTGTCCATTACGGAGTCATTGATCCCGGTTCTGGGCGACAGGTAACAAGCAGTTTCCCGCGCTGCTGTCCTGCTCCGACTCATCCAGTAGTTTTCCCCGCACCATCGCCTCCGACTAGCCCAGCAGGCAAGCGAGCACCACCCAGCTCTCACTTAGTGCCCGTCATTTTCCCGTGTGCTGGCCCCGACCCTCGCTCACCCAGCAGGCAGGCGAGCAGCGCACCGGTGCTCACACCGCAGATGAGGTCGAACATCTGGTACACCGGCTGCCCGCTCAGGCGCTCCAGTTCCCGCAGCAGCTCGATGGCCAGGATACCCCTGCAGGGCGGCCACAGGGTGGTGAAATGACGCGTCAGCGGTAGGCGACATGCCACACTGGTGGATAGCATGCCAGTCTACTGTCTAACAAATACATACCGAAAGACCTACGGCCCATTATGTGACAGATCAAAGGGAAAGGGAATGTAGAGGCTGACAGACCTTAGATAATGCACGACCGCGGTACCATACGATAGAATATGGATCACGTTTAATATCTATCGTAAATTATATTTCAATTTTAACTTCGATCTTCCCGACGCACTATCGTAGTTAGACTGCTGTGAGGACAAGAGCCGAACGAGTACGTACGGCGTACAAAATATTCCCCCAGCACAGCTCCATATCGGTCATTATCAGAGCCGTCAATCCACCCAGGCCGTATCAGTCCTGCAACACAACGCTGTCAGGCCCGGTCACACAGCGTACCAGCTGCGCGCGCGGCCACTAACCGTATGCCGCCGCCGTCGATGCTCAGGATGCGGATGCCGCGGCCGGTGACAGGCCGCACGTAACCGAGCAGCGCCAGCGCCTCGCGCAGCTGCATCTGGACCACCTTGTCGGACGTCTCCTCGTACATGGTGAGTAGGCAGGAGACGGCGCCCTCCTGGGGGCGGTGCATACCGTGTCAGGGGTGACACCATGACAGCGTCACGGACACCGCAGGTTTTGCCGAAACAAAACTTCAGACAAACGAAAGAAACTGACTGAAGAATGTTACTGTGCAACAATTTCATAAAGTCTTATAAAAAGCGTAACAAGTTCCTTTATGTCATCCCTGACCGGAAAACCACCGTAAATCCGCTGGCGACAATCCGCTGGCGATCAGCCGAAAACGATCTATTTGATTCCCAGCCACGTCACATCACCCAAACTTCCATCATCCAATGACGGTACAAGCTCCCCAGCCAATACGATCCCTCGCAGGTCGGCCAGACTCAGCATTTCTCACCATGAAGGCCAGGTTGATGGCCTCCGGGTGCTGCTGCAGGTGGCGACACAGGTCCTCCACGCGCCGCGAGCGTGACATATCGGTGCGCGCGGAGCGAACCAGACCGACCAGGTCACGGGTGCGAGCGTCAATGCCGCCCTAACAGACAGACGGAGCCATGGGGAATGTCAGAATTCCTAAGTGAATAGTTAAGATACTAATTCAGCAGATTTGGCATTTGTCACACATGCGAAATGGGCTGGGATTGGCAGAAATGGACTCGAATTATGACAATCCTGAGAAGATTAACAGTTCAGGTGGCAGAACACTGATTTGCTTTGACATACCCTTGCTGATGCCAGTTCCAGTTTCCATTTAGGCACCACCTTTGGTTGAGGTTTTTCAGGAATCTTCAGAAGACTCATGTAACTTTGCCATGAGCTGACATCTGGGGGCACTCTCTGTTCCTTGGCTGCAGGAAGAGGCTCTTGGGGAGGACTTGACTTGGCCTCCTGCTCAACAGAGGACTTTGAAGACAACTGTGACTGCAGTTCTGGTGCTTTTGCTTCATTATCACTGACAATCTTTTGCACAGGACTAGTTGCCTGGGCTTCACCAATGGTTCTGTGCACCAAGTCCCTGAGAACCTGGGTAAGCCTCACATGAAGAGAAGCATTTCTGAGTTGTGTTCTTGATGCCATCTTAAATCAGCATAAATCTGAAAGAAGAAATGACTGAATTAGCAAGTGGTTACAATCAATTAGCACAAACATATAATTTATAATATAAGAACGCACCTAAGAACGCTACGGCAGCCTTTCGTACAAAAACATAAGTTTGTTATGGTGTGTAGGCATGTAACAGACTATAGTGATTCACCAGATGCTGGTGATTGGAAATAGGAACAGCAAAGTAGGATGCATTCAGTTCCTGGAAATTGATAGATGATACTGTTCAAGAATTCAGCATTCAGTACTTATGCCAAAAAGGATATCAATCTGTCCCACAAAAGGGAATTCCTGAACCATAGGTACCTGAAAAAGGAAGGGAGTTGCTGCCACTTTGACCCATCATCTCCAAGAACTTCGGGACCCATTCTCACATCTCAAGCAGCATTTATTAGAGGAATCAGAATCAAGTATCAAGGTCTTAAGGGCTCTGGAAGAAGATGTTGAGGTCGAGATCTATTAACCCAATCAAATTATTCTCAGATGATAGGTATGCTTTGATGTATTTATATGCTACCATACCCTCTGGCTTTGTAGTTTGTACATAATAGTTTTATTAGAGGATCCAGACATATGCCATTTCATGCAGGTCACAGCATATGCAGGTACCTACCTACTCCTCAAAAAAGGTTTGTTTTCAATGGAAAAAATAACTTGGATTTCATTTTTATATGAGTTGACATTGACATGACATGACATGACATAACACAGACCAAAGCCATATAGAGACAACAAATATAATAGTTATACTTTAGCCACTCCCCCCCCCCCCTTAAAGGGACACTCCCACCTTAACATTAGTTTTGAGTTGAGATCAGGGCCTCGTCTAAGGAATTTTCACTGGGGGGGCCAGAGACAACCTAGCCAAACCTAGGGTACCCCCAAATCCTGTTTTCTCACCGGATTTAGACCACTTATTTTTCATCACAGCCCTGACACCATGATTTTTTTTTTTAACTAAAAAGAAAATAGTGGACGATCCGACCCATGGTTTTATATTAGTTTGTAGCCTCCTCACCTTGCCCCATGAGACAGTAATGATCACACTTCTCGGTGTTGAGCGTTTGTTTGAGTGGCAGTGCCTCGTCTAAGGAATTTTCATGACGAGCCTCATGTCGATGGCCCGCACGCATAATTTTTTTTTTTGCGAACCACATCGGTTTCTGATGGGCCCCGCCGACTTCTGAGTGCTCGGTACCGAACTCTGAGGACTAATTCCAGCTTCTGGACCCACGTCGGCCTCTATGATAGCCCACACTGGTTTTATATGATCCATACCAGGCTTTAAAGATCAATCTGAGTAGAGACCGTATTTTCCCACGTAGAGCCCCCTCAGACGAGTGTAATGCCTGTGTATCAACTTGGAGACTGACTACTGAGGGCTTCTCAGGTGGATTCTCCATAATCGCCGTGGATCTCCGACACAACCTTAAGGTCGTCAGAGGCTATAGTGTGAGACAATCGGGGCCCCGTGTAGTAGTGCAATTTGAGGCCCGTTGGGACCCTAAGTGACTGGGATTTGCCCTCCGGGACTCCATTTTTGTTTTTCTTTTGTTGGGTTAGGCCCTTTCGGTCTGACGAGACCATTTCAGAGCCGGAAGGATGATAGGAATTAGGGGCAGACATTGGTCTGGGCAGGCACCCCAGTGAGTCACCTGGGCTGAACCTGTCCAGTCGGACAGGCCGCCCAGCCCGATGGCACTCACTGCACCCGGCTGCGGACTAGCTCCAGTGGAGCCGTTCCCGTGTGGGTTAGAGTGCCTGTCCAGCCCGGAGCAGGGGGTTGCGGCATGGAGAAGGATTTGACTGTCCTGAGGATGGAAAGCACGGCTCGGTGCCGGGACTCCATGCCGACTTCTTTAGATAACCCAGAGCTGTCAGTTCCCGTCGCCACACACAGACCACCAATCTGCGCCTATGTACGACCCACCCGGAACGGGAACCTGCTTCATTACGATTAGGAGCTATACTCTAGCCGCACACCGGTGACCGTCCAGCCAGAAGTTGGACGCCGCATAGTGAGGACGACGATAGGCAAAAACAACAGATTGACGCCCCGAGGACAGAAACAACAGATTAATAGGAGAATTTGATACGTTATTTGATACGTTATTTGATACGTGATTGATAGGAGAGACTAGGCAAAAAAGGAGAATTTTTTGCCGGTAGAGCGTTGGACTCCTCGTGGCTCGTGGTGAGGGCACGCGTCCCGGTTATAACAGTCCGGGTTCGAAACGCGACGGAGTCGCTCGATGTTTATGAGCCTCCTGGCGAGTATAGTTGCGGTTGGTAGCAGGCCGTAGCTGCAGTCGAAGTCAGTGAGGGGACCGGCCGTGCGCGGCTTTGTGCATACGTTAAACTTTGGGCTCTAAATTCTGCCATAGATCAGGAATTGCGCGATCGGAGGGTAGAGGGCAGGGCAGGGCCAACGCAACAAGCTCTGCTTAGCGGGGGCTCTGTCCTTGTGAATCCTTCGATTCAAAAGGTTCGGACTAAATTTATAAAAAAAAGAATACCCGGGACACGGAGTTGGGCCGCCTGAAAAGACGAAATGTAACGTATTGCTGAGCGAAAAAAAAAATGGTTCAGGTAAACAAAATAAACACTTGATAACAACCCTAGGTAATCGGGTATATCAATGTGCTCACATTGCATCCATGTGTCGTTTACGCGTTTGTTTTCATGTGGACTGACGACTCGCAATAAAAGTTCGTTTGCTCTTTCGCTATTGCCGGCCCCCCCAGTAGTGACTTTTTGCCCTGACTGGGGGGGCCAGGTTGGTGACTGCGGGGGTTTGGCCCCCCCAGTTAACATGTTAGACGAGGCCTTGGTTGAGATAGCCAAATTGGTGGCCATGGCCTGCAAATACCGGTTTGGGCACTCACAACATCGACAAATGCTTTAATTCGGAGATATGGAATTTCAAACTTGCAGTTTTCGGATTCTAAGGGGCTAGTGCATTGGTATGCCCCCTTAGAATTTGTGACGTCAGCGGAGATCTAACGATTTTTAAATCTTTTACTAAAACGTTTGGTAGCACGCGGTGGTATATGCTGCTTGGCGCGCAACAAATGCCGCACTTTCAAATAAAGTCGCTAGGAACAGCGGAGATCCCAAAAAGTAAACAAAAGTAAAAGTCTAATATCTTGAAAACCGGTGAATATTTTTCGATGAAATTTGGTAGATATTCGTTTTCGCTCTTTCTGAACCGAGCGACATCACTTTCGTGCCAATTCATTAACTTTTTTGAAGGTGGGAGGGTCCCTTTAATTCCCATTCACTGCACCCTGTGGCCTGTCACTGATAAGTTTCAACAGGTAGAACAGCACACCGACACCTTTCTTCCCGTCCCATGCAGGATTCACAGCACTCGTTTTCCAATTCTCACAAATCAAATTTCCCTACACGCAGGAAAATCACAAACATACCTTCCTCCTTCGCTTTGTTTTCTACCCCTATCGCCTCTCTGCCTCCCTACGTTCCTTGGGTATTGGTTCCTTGTTATGAATGGGATTGTTGGCCTTGTTATGAATCTGAGTTTTTCAAGGCCATTATGCGTCACATTTGCCTAGCAGTAACAATATTATCTTTGGGTATCCTGAGCTTATGTCGTCATCAGATCGCTCCGATTGTTGGCGAATGGAAAGACGCCAATTTTATTTCGCTTCAATCGAAACCATAGAGAATTAGCATCAGCGTTCTGCGTTTACCGTTGTGAAAAACATTTTGTGTCTTAAAAATTACGATAATAAGTGTTAACATAAGAAACAACTCCAATTTCGTCTACATTCTGTTGTAATAAACCCGGAAGAGATAATTTTAATGACGTCATTATCCCACTTAATATATTTCGTTCTTACCCAATTCATGGGTAAGTGGGCCATGGCGTGACCCGTCCACCACACATCACACCACTTTTCGACCAATCAGCGCACGGGTGTGTCCACAACATTGTATCTCATTGGCTTATTTCTAGGGCGCCGTGCACGGAAGATATCCTGGGTCCTTGGGGCTGGCGCGTATGGAGAGGTGCGTGGGCCCCGTCTCTCTCTCTCTCTCTCTTCTCCTCCTCTCCTCTCTCTCCTCTCCTCCTCTCGCTCTCTCTCTCTCCTCTCTCTCTCTCTCTCTCCTCCCTCTCTCTCTCTCTCTCTCTCTCTCTCTCTCCCTCTCCTCTCTCTCTCTCTCTCTCCTCTCCTCCTCCTCTCTCTCTCTCTCTCTCGCCTCCTCTCTCCTCTCCTCTCCTCCCTCTCT